CAGGAATTCTGGCAGATCGTGGTCCCTTCATTGAATGCCGCTGTCTATGGGGAAGAGAAGGAGCTTGCCCCGGAGACCTTGGCTAACAGGAGCCGGCTTGCCGAAACCCCTGTCATGGGCACAAGCAGCAGCCCTGACAACTGTGAGCAAAGGCCTTCATTCTGGTGGGAGGAACTTCAAAAGCCGCAGTGGGGAAAGGAGTGTCCCTGAGAATGTTGAAATGGCAGGCACACTATTTCCGCTGACAAAGATGAAGATCAAGTAAATGGGAGCACGGAAAACATGATTTTATTTGGAGATGCTCTCCCTGGCAACGATCATCAAAGTCTTGAGCTGAAATGAAGAAGGCGCCGGTATAGCAAGCACACTAGAGCACACTTCGATTTCTAAGGAGAGAAGTCATCTTTGAAATAACGAAAGCTTGGAGACTAATGAAAACTAGCAATGCAGAAAGTAAAGCGTGTGGCCCCAGACAGCCTCGTGCTGCCCCTTGGTTAGACAGCCGTTACAGCTGGAAGCCACTTAGGGATCATCTGGACAAAACCTGTAATGTTACGAAGGAATAGACACTGCATCTGAAGGACATTAAGTTACTTGTTCAAGGTCATATAACGAGTTAGTGACGTCTGGATTGTTAGCAACTGCGTTCTCTGCGTCCAAGGAGCCAATTTCTGAAGTCTTCTTCAGAACATGCACCTTTGCGCAGTTCTTGAGGGCTGAAGTTCAAAGGCACTGGGACCACTTATGTGTCTTGCCATCTTTGATCCATTCTGTGTTGTACTCACATAGATTTGTGGGAAGGCGCCCCACTATAGACCACCACCCCCACAGCTGCAGGTTTGGTCTGCGGTTAGGTTTGTCTGACACATGATATAGAAAAAACAACTGAACATTCCAGAAAAATCCTGGCAAAAAGGATGGAGAGCTGGGGCAGGCTTAGTACATCCTAGGATCTGAAACCCTCAGAATTTCAGGGGAAAGATAGAAAACCCAAAAAGTTTTTAAACACTGCCTAATAGGAGAGGCTCTGAGGATCAGTCAATAGGTGAAATATTCAGAGTTCACCTTTTAGAAACCTGCAAAGGATGTGAATCTCTGTAGCTTAATCTGCTATTTAGGATAAACAGAGTACACATTTTCTAAGAATAGGTAAAAAAAAATGTTTCAGGAAAAAAGCTTGGAGCCTGTAGAGCTAAACAACTTCAGATCAAAGGGAAAGAAGCAGCATGAAAAATACTTGGAGAAAGATAATCCAAGAACCATCTCCTACAGAATCTAAAGATAATGTATTGGCGTGTGCAACAGAAATCAAGATGTGTAATTTATGACATGGGATCACATCATCCAGGAGAGAAGAGACTGGTATAGCAAGACTGAGGTCATTGGCCGAAGGAAGGACAGCTCCAAGGACACTCAACCCCCACTGGCTTCTAGCCGCGGGCACAGTGTAGCATACCTTGTCCTTGTTCATGAGTAAAATTAAATATTTGCAAAACTTATGTCAAAATAACCTTAAAACATATTTAAAGTCTGAGTCTTTTAACTCAGGACGGGGCCCCACGCCAGGGATGCCCATGTTCTGCATCACAGCATTGTGTGTTGTGCCACTGAGAGCTTTATAACGTGGGGATCACCAAACACCACCAAACAGAAGCAAACACAGCACTATTGTCTCTGGGATTTCCTTCCAAGCTGCTAACAGCCTTTCTGCAAATTTTGCTGTTGGCATGTGATAGGTAATCTTTTAGCACAGCTTTTTCTGTTCGTCTGCTCTTAGCTCCTATAAATCAGGGTCATCACTTTGCATGACAAAATGAAATTTCACTCATTCCTTCAAATATAAAATATTTGCTTCTCACCCTGCCCGGTGTGGCTCAGTCGGTTGGAGTGGCATCCAGTAAACCAAAAGGTTTGGTCACCAGGAGGGGCATGTATGAGAGGCAACCAAGCAATGTTTCCTTCTTTTTCTCCCTTCCTTCCCCTCTCTCTAGAGTTAATAAAAAAATTCTAAAAAAATTTCCTTTCCTAGTATCAAATTCCACATCACTGTTTCACTCCAATAATTTCTGACATTCACAATAACTTTTTCAATGCCAATAATAATATAACCTTTAAAATAATGACAACTATATTCAACACATATAGCATCAATAATAGAGTGAAAAAAATTATAGACATCTACTATACTCAACACACACAACACCAATAATAATTTAAAGTGAAAAAATATAGACAGCCATCACTAAATGCAAGCATGTATGGACAATAACAATTACATCAAGACATATCTCAAGTTCAGAAGTGTGAAGATGTACAAAAATGGGTCTTAAAGTACAATGCAACATTAAACTTCTTCACCCAGCTTTTATGATTTATTTTTTCTATGTTCATCTGTGTGGTATTGAAAGAGACATGTTGAAGTATAAATTTTATCTTCCCTATGAATCCTACCCTTTTCCATATCAAATGACAAAATTTCTCCATTTTAATTCATTTCCATAAAGTCTATTTTTTCTGACATTATTAATAGCTTGACTACTGCTATTCTTTTAAATTTGTCTGATACATCTTTGCCTATCAATTCACATTTGTATTATGTGTCACACTGTTTGAGAAATGCTAATTGAAATCCACATTTGGCAAGATAATGTTTTTCATTTCCAATCTAAAGGATTTTGTCTTTTAATAGGAAAGTTATATTTAGTTTAATTATTAACTTTTCAATATTTAATCTTACCTCTCTTAGTTGATTGTGGTTCTCAACACATCATATTATACCATGATTTATCCATTCTTTAATTAACTTTTTTTCATTGTTAAATGTGTCATGCATATAATGCAATGGATTTACATATCTGTATATTTAAAGATTAATAGTAAATTGAATAAATACCTAAAATCCACTACCCAGCTTAAGAAACAAAGTATCATGAATAATTTTAAAGTTCCCTTCTGACCTAGCTAATCACATTCTTTCCCTGCCCTGGATTTAATACTATTCTATATTTTGCATTAATTCTTTTGTTTTTGTCCTCTGTAGCTATACTCTATATATATATATATCTCCAGGCAGCACAATAATCAGTTTGCTTATTGTTTATCATTATGCAAATGCAACTGACACTTGTTATTTTTGGTCAGCATTGTGTTTTTTGGTGGTAGCTATGATTAATTTATTTCTCCTAATAAATGGTATTCTGCACCAATTTGTACAATCTCCAGAAGACACCAGTGATGTTATGTGCTGTGTACAATGTGCCAACTCTGTGAATGGTGCCCCAGAGCAGAGCGCAACAATGACCCTGGTTCCGCTGCAGGAATGCAACATGATTTATTCATTTTAATAATTCAGTGTTTTTCCCGTTTTCTTTTTTTTTACTTTTTTTATTGCTATGATGAATAATATTGCTATGAGCATTTTTTTTTTTTTTGCGTGCCTCTTGAACATAAATTTTTTCTAGGGTTTCTAACCAGAAGTGGAATATCTACTCCTAGTATGTACAAATGCTTAACATTACTCAATCATGCCAGATTGCTTTCCTAACTGGTTTTACCAATTTCTGCTGTCTCCAGCCTTGTGTGAGAGTTGCTATTGATCTTGGCCAAGATTTGGTATTTACAGACCCTTTTTAATCTAGAGGCTATAAAATATAATCTCTATTTTTTTTAGTAAATTCAAATTTATTAAAGGTCTATGAGTATATGGTAAAATAAGCTTTTTTATTTTTATTTTTTGCTCTGACATATTGGCACAAACACCATTAAAAAGATGATTCAGTTTTCTGCAAAGATGGCACAAAGCAGGAGTTTGACTCTCTTCCCAAAACTCAGCTCTAGAGAAATTAAAGGCAGGAGAGAAACAAGGATTCTGAGAACTAATCAATCAAACAAACAATAAGAACAAATTAAGAGTCACCAAGCAACAAGACAACTAAGCCATCCATGGGAGGCAGAGTGTTCTGGGACACGTGTGTTCAGGCAGCGCTCACATGCCACCTGGCAAAGGTTAGACACCTGTAGCCTCCAGAGAGGAGGGAGGCTGGGCCAGCTGTTGCAGGGTCCTGCCTTGGCTCCTGGTAGCCTTGTTCCTTTGGAACAAAACCCTACTCAACAGCCTATGCCATCTGTGTTAGCATCCTTGAGGTTATATTAGTACATTTAAAAAGCCTCGCAGGGGTGAGGAGCTGAAGTAAACAGGTGTGAACTGAGTACCCGCAGAGTATTATTACTTCATCTCTGACCATGGGGTTTTCCCGATGGACTGACAGAAAATGGGAGTCACTAAGCTGGGTAGGACTGTGATGCGCACACACACAGAAGGTCTGATGAAAGCCTTACTTCATCCCTCTCAGTAGATCGTATCTGATAGCACAAGCGTAACTTGGCCCCACAGGTCAAAATCTAGATATCTGAGGAAGAAAAATACTATAAAAGAAATTGACCAACCTGGACATTTGAAGCAGGACTGTTTCAACAAACATTTTAAGTAAGAAAATAAAAGTAGCTAACAGTGATAAAAATAAACAATTTGAAATACCATGAAAGAAAATACGATGGTTAAGAAGAAAATAGATGAGGACCATAATAGCAAGGTTTATAAGGAAGCCAAAGACATTTAAGATCACACTGTAAATACTGACAGCATTCCTCTATTCCAGAGGTAAATAACTGAGACATACTAAGAAGTCCTGCTAATAAACACAACGCAGTTTGGTCAAAGGCAGACAAGTAGATGGAATGGCATTAAGAGCATAGACAACAATATGTATGGGAACCGAAAAATACTATAAATATGTTACTGCAAATCTAAAGGACAAGAGCAGACAGCTGTAAGTAGGTTGTAAGTAGGGGCAGAAAAAGGCTGCAGAAGGGCGTGATTAACTTGTGATGAAATGTTCATAAAATTCACGGGGGGAGAGGGATGGGTGGAGGTGGGAGAGGGTTAGGGGAATAAATGGTAACAGAAAGAAATACAGTTAAAAAGGAAACTAAAAAAAGAATTGTTTATAAATCTCTATTTGCACACATAGAACAGGGAAGGATATAGATCATTGTTAATGGTAATGATTGCTGGGTAGTGGGACTGTGGGTGACAAATTTTCTTTCTATACTTTTTATAGTTTCCAAATTGCTTCCACAACACAAATTCTCTTTATCAGAAAAAATGATAGGGAGGTCTGATTTTAATCAAGGGGGTGCTGGAGCCACGTCTGATCACACATGATTAACTAGAGGGCCGTGACTTCCTGGAAGTGTTTGGTGGCGGTTCCTTCCCGATTGTGCGTTTCGGAAGCAAAGGGAATGGAGAGGCCTGGACATGTTTCCAAGATTTGGGTCCAAGCTCAGTGCAGAAGCTCACTGCTGAGCCTCTGAACTCACAAGGGACTGTGTGAGACAGGGGACATGCAGGGCTGCCTGTGTGATGCTCACCGGAGAGACACTAGACGTCTCAGCTGTCAGTGAGACACTGCTGGCTGCACTGTTCACTCTGGAGCATCCACCCCTGGCTTTGCGTGCACGGTGCCTGGACACTGGCATCTCCAGGAGAGCCTGGCAGGGGTAGCAAGCACCTCAATGACCTTTGAGGTCACTGCAGGGTGGAAGGGCTCAGAGAGGGTTGATTCAAGGAACATGAATCCTTGACATGTTTCTGAAGACGCCCACAAACAATGGGCACAGACTTTGAGGAGAGCTGGCCATCCTATGACAGGTAGGTGAGGGCAAAGCCTGCGAGGGAGAGGAGCTCTCCAACATTCCAGAACAAGCATAGCCTTCTCCTCCCCAAACTCCACACATCTGAAGCCTCGGTTATTCTAAGTGGCTGTGGAATGTTCAGTCAAGACATTCACAGACGTCCAAGGTGTACACACTTTATTTTGGCCCTCAAGCCACCGGACCCGTCTGGTCCCGTAAAATCTGAATTAAGGTGAGGTGGGCTGAAGGAAAGGAATTCCTGTAAGCAATGGCCCCTCTTTATGGGGAGGAGAACCTGCCGCAGAACAAGATGCTGTTAGTCTTGTGGTGCCTGATGAAGAAAAGGAACGGGTGGTCTGCACAAAATGTTGGCTCCTTCCTGGCACACCGGGTGTTCCTGACCACGGCAGTGGCTGCAGCCGCCTCCGTCCCTTCCTCATTGACCTCTACAAAGCACTTGTGTGCGACCTTGGACACGGGCACATTCTTCTTAGTTGACATTCCAGAAAAGTCCGCCTTGGCTTCCTCAAAAGCATCAGTCATTCCTAAACTTTGAAGAACAGACTCCAAGTCATAGCTCTCCTCCAGCTTAAATCGGGGAAGGAAGACTTGAATTTTTTCCACAGTCATCTTTTCTGGATCTGTCCAGGCTGTGATCTTCTCAGGTGTAAGTGCTTTTTCCACCTGAAATAACAAAGAGTCAAACCTTATGATCTAGATGACAATAACCTGGTGTGTACCCCATTCCACTCCTCCTGTGCCATGCGGCTAGATGGTGGGTTCTGGTCCAAGACAATCTACAGAGTTTGTCCCTCTTGTACACACACCAAGATTTTCCCTCAAATTCTCATCTAAAGCTAGAAAACACCTGAGTCAAAGAGGGTTTTTTTTAAAAACCATGTGTACCAAATTCATTTCAAATGTGTTTTAGTTTGCAAAACCATCATAACCAATTGATTATACCCATGCAATACACATTACTGTGAGCTGGAGAGATTGTTGAAAAGGAGAGATGGAGCAAGGCTCAGAGCTCTGGTCTGTGAAAGAGGACCCAGGGCTTGTCTGAGGGGCAAGGGAGGCGTGGCTTCTGGGGAAGGGAGGGCAGAAATGGGCAACTCCACGGGCCTGCTGCTTCTGGCACCTGGTTAGCCCTCTGCCTGCCCTGGGGGGAGCTTCCAAACCTCCAAGACCCATCGCTCTTTCTATTTATCTACAGGGGCGAAATAAAAGAATGGGAAGGAGCTTGCTGCTTCCTCTCCTTCCCTTCACCACCTGGAGCTCGGGTGAGCACCTCTCTCCACCAACAGCTGTTGGGGCATTAGCTCTATTCCTGGACTCCCCTGATTTTCTTCTCAAGTGGCCACGACAGATCTCATCCTTGACTTATGTCCATAGCTTCCTGATTCCACGGAGAAGCCAGGGAGATCAGGCAGGCCTGAAGGCACAGGAGGCTTAGGAGACATGTCAGAGCTGGCTTTTACCCCTTGAGTCAATAGTCAAACTCTTGGTTATCTGAACGTAGCCACGTAGGAGTATTGACAGCAGGAAAACAGCACACGTGTCATCGGAGGGCTTCTTCCATCCTCAGAGAGCCAGGCAGCCAGCAAACAGTTGGTCCTACACCTCCCCCCTTACAAGTTTACCTTCTTCCTGAACTCTGTCCCCTTTCTGTCTTGGGAAGAGGGCTCTCTCCTCCTGCCTAGGGTAAATTCCTCCCCTGTACTTTAGACTCTTGCTATCCAAAGCGTGGTCCATGACCAACAGCACCTGCATCACCTGGAATCTTGTTAGAAATGCAAAACTCTCAGGCCACAGCCCCCAGAATCAAAATCTGCACTGTCACAAGATCCCCAGGAGAGCCACACGCATATGAATGTTGGAGACAGGCTGCCCAGATCAATCCTTATCTTTTTCCAGTACGTTCATTCATTAGTTATTGGGCCCTCAACCCGCCCCTCTTCAGAATGAAGACTAACGCTCCTATCCTTGGCATTCTGCCTTCTTAGCTTCATCAGTGTTGTCCTTACCCGCAATTCCATCCCAAGATATATACTCCTTAGAAATGCATACTCATCCCCACCAAAGACACGCAGAGGTGCTCATCCAGCACTCTTTACGACAGCCGTTTACGGGAAACCCCTCCAACGCCACCTGCTGGACGGACTCGAAGAGAGGCGCGGAGGCTGGCTCCGCAGGCGCTCCGACCCCGACCCCGGGCCAAGGGCTCACCAAGGCGAGATCAGCGTCTTCATCAGGCAGCAGAATGACCATGCTCAGCTCCTCCCCAGCATAGGGCAGCTCCAGGACCTGGCTGCGCACCTCATCCACATGGCCCATTTTAAATTCAGCTTTCTTAAACATCATCTGCACTGTCTTCTTTTCCTAATGAGAACATGAAATTAAGATGAAATTACTGAAAAATGAGCGCTGTTCCTTAAAAATATGTCTGATTCACAGAACCCCTAGATACATATAAGAGGATATTACTTCTGTGCACTTGTGCTGATAGATATAAAATCCTCTTTATTATGTATTAGTATTGAGTATAACATGCTCATGCCCCAGCAGATCAATTATAACCAGGTGAGAGAAAATAAACTGGTGAATATAGACAGACATAAAGCTCTCTCATTATTTTTGGAAGAAATTGTGTTTTTTCCCTTTTGATAAAATGCATGAAGAAGCACTCCCAGAGACCTTATAATTAAAAATGATTTTTCTAACTTGAAAGGAGAATTAACTAGTATTCAGGCCTTTGGGCTGGAGGATCAGGTTACAGAAGATGTATAGGCCAGAGGGAGTTAGACTTTTATTCTGAAAAGTTGCTCAATTATATAATTGATTTTACAGCTTTGGTTTTCTTGGAGAAGGAACCTTAACACAGTGTGTGGTGTCTACCATTTTTAAATCTTGCATCAAATATATTTTAGACTTTTAAATCTAAGCTCTGGCTGGTGTGGTTAAGTAGGTTGAGCGCCAGCCTGCAAACCAAAATGTTGCCAGTTCAATTCCCAGTCAGGGCACATGCCTGGGTTGCGAGCCAGGTCCCTGGTTGGGGGGTGTACAAAAGGCAACTGATCAATGTTTCTCTCCCTTTCTCCCTCCCTTCCCCTCTCTCTAAAAATAAATAAATACAATCTTTAAATCTCTGTGCAACGTGCTATTCTCAAGGTGATGGAGGTCAAATTCCAAGTTAATTGCTATTGACCCCAGCCATTATGATATTCAGCAGGGAACGGGGAAAAGCATTTCTACTGTTCAGCTTATAAATCTGGATATCTAATGTGCAGCATGAGGGCCTGGTTAATCATACTGTACTGAACACTGGAAATTGGCTAAGAGTAGATTTCAGGGGCTCTCGTCACACACACAGAGAGGCAGCTGTGTGGGGAGATACATTAGTTAGCTTTACGGTAGTAATCACGTTGCCATGGATAGCAAATCATCATCTTATACACCTTGAATAGATACAAGTTTTATTTTTAAAGATCCAAAACATTTCAAAATAAATAGCCTTAACCTCTCTTAACACCCTCTGCCTTGCGCTCAGAATTGTGTAGTCATGAATCTAAGGCAACAAATAGACGTCACTGTCACTGGCATTTTCGAAGGCATCTAAGTAAACGCAGACGGTGACTGCTGCTGATAGAAACGGAGGACTTGCATTGTCACGAGAAAAAACGTGTTTGGGGACAAACCAGGGAGCATGGGATCCGCTGGTAAGGTTTATTGGGGTGGGAAATCTGCCCCTGGGTTCGGAGCCCAGCCAGGGAAAGCTAGGAAGGTCCTTAAATTGGAGGAAGGGCATGGAACCCCAGTAGGTCCAGGAAAGGGATTGCTTGAGGGGAGGGACCCAATCAAGCCAGAAAGAGCCAGAAAGCTGGGTTAAGTGGTTTGCATGGCACCTTGTTTTTCACCAAGAAAATATACGGAGGATTAGCAGGAGCGCCATGGCAGTTGCTGCAACAGCCTGCGGGTCCTCCACGTCCCTGAGGGGGGATTAATTCCCTCACCCCAAAGAAATCTTGCCATTGCATTTAAACTTCTCCACACACAGGCACCATTTGAAATCTTTTCTCCTGACACCACAAAAGAGCTCGTTTTCACTGGCAACAGCAATACAATACAACCCTCATTCCCAGCTTAGAAGAAACTTTCTTTTCATCATCATAATATGCCCAGAGATAGCAGGTAAATAGGATCAAGGATGAAAAAAAGGAAATTATCAGTAGAAAAATTATTTTCATTTTTCTCCTCCTTTTTCCAATACCAGATATAAAGGGGGGCATGAAACACATTCAGATGCGGATTAACAATCAAGATAGTGTGAAATGACTTAGTGCGTTTCTCCGTTTACAGCCTTTCCCAGCCCGGTTACTTTAAGAGAGGAGCAGTGTGTCTGATATCTCTGTCCCTACCTGGTTGACTTTGAAGGGCATGCCCCTGGTGTACCTTCGGTCAAACTGCTTCTTCCACTTGCCTTTGAAATAGATCGCGTTCACAAGAACCAGCTTGGTCAGTGGACTGACTGCGCCAATACCCAGAATCTCTGAAATCTTACCTGTAAAGAACACAAGAGAAGTTTGTTGCTATTGGGTGGGAGGAATAATCATCCTTTTACCAAAAAAAAAAAAAAAAAAAAAATCTCCTCAACCTGGCACGTCAAGTTTTCATGGACAGTCAGGCTGAAATGCTGTCTTTTCAGCCCCCTGATGGACCAGGCAATGATGTTTCGGGCTGTACACGCACCCAGGGTATTGTTTGTCCTTAAACAATAACCGTGAACCAAGCAGGTCAACTGTTGTTTTGCCCTCAATTTACAGATGTAGAAATTCAGGTTCAGGGCGTTTGCCTGACTTTTTGCTAAGATCACCTAGGTGGCAAGTGACTACGCTGAGAAAATAATCCAAGAGTCTTGATTTTAACTGTAAGTCTCTCAAGCTGGGACACCTTTGCAACCATCCCACTATTGACATGTTAGGCCGCATACTTCTTTGTTGTGGAGACTGGCTTGTGCACTGTAAGACGGTTACCCAGCAGCACTCCCCTGAACTGTGACAACCAAAAATGTCTTCGGCCATTGCCACGTGTCTCCTGGAGGTCGCTGCTGGCTGTTGGCTCGTTGCTCTGTGCCCACCTTCACATCTCATCTAGGTGAGGAAAGCCTGCCAAAGAATGGGAAGAACAGACCTGCCCTTAGGGGAAGGCAGGCCTCCTGAACGGAGTGATCGGCGCAAAGGCATTAGAGGGACGCAATGAAGGGGCCCAACTTGCATTGCTCCATGAAAGTGGGGACAAGGCGATCCCCGGAAGACCCCCAGCTCCAGTGTCCTGGGAAAACACGCAGATGGCCAGCCTGAAGGAAGAACAGTGTGAGCAGCAGGGGAGCGGAAGTGTCCCGGGGACACAGGAGCTGCTGGCTTCCCCATTGACTTAGGACCGCTCCACCCACAGGAGAGCAGGAGACTACCGCACAGGTCGCACGGGAAACCCTGCAAGGCTCTTCCCTTCCGATGGTCGTTATGGTTTTGGCTTTCAGCACCATCGCGACCATTGCTGCAGCCCAAGACACAGAGGGTGTGCCTTAAAGATTGGACGTGCGGAATGATGAGTGCTGGGTGGGCATGAGGAGCAAGAACGTACACTCCCCATGTTCTGGAAGTCTCTAAATTTCAGGTTAGCTATTTGGAGTGTTTTAGGAGCATGCCCTTTTTCTCTGAGTTCCGAGCGGGAACTGGCAGAACTATTTCTGCTGAGACGGAACATGAACTGGACAGGGCACAGTGCAGGCCCCACGTAACCTGCAGCTCCTGACTCTGAGGCAAACTCAGAAAGGATCACGACCCAAAAGCAAACGTAGCCACAGCCTCGTGACAAAGAAGGAGAGGGCCGAGGATGAAACCAGAGCTGTTGCATTCCCGCAGGGAGGTAGCGTGAAAGGTGGCCCTCTCCTAGCTGCCACCCAAGTTGAATGGCATTCTGCCCTCAGAGCGGGGCAAGGGTTCTCCCAGACAGAAGATCAACAGAGCTCCCAAGAGGAAGCATTTTTCCGGAATTTTCTAGAATAGTCCAGTGGGGAGGGTGTCTGGGAACCTTACCGTTGGTTTAAGTATTTATTCGAAGTCGCCCCTTTGGGATCTGATAAGCCCAGGAGAGACCACAGAATCGCATGGCTGATTTGCAAAGGCAGCAAGCACACCCCACCGGCCCTCTGGCCACAGGGTCGCAGTGGCAGCATGGCGGAGGTCATGCCCCAGGCCACCTCCCCCGCTTTTCCTTCACAACTCGCCAAATCTACCGAAACGAAATCTCTCACCTTCAGTCTTTTGTGTCACCCAGTCGTTGATGGATTTCCTGCACCCCTCGGTGTCTTCAGCAAAGGACAGCTCCTCCAGCTCTGCCTGGTAGAACTTCTGGCAGGATTCCTTGAAGGCCTGCAATGCGAGATGCCCAGTGTGGCCCCCGCTGCGAAGCTGCCCATGCTGTGGACACATCTGCTCTTTCCGACCACGTTTCTAGCCTAACTGCTCGCACAGGTCATCCTGCCCTTGGAGACTCATTCATACAATTAACGAAAATGCACAGACCACCCCCACACTGTGCCTGGCCCTGTGCTCCATGCTGCACATGGGGTGAAGGCCCAACATGAGACTCGGGGGGGCTCCCAGTCTGACAAGAGAGATGATGTAAACACAGTGAGTCACAGGATGTTTTGAGAATGTGGATGGGGCGGGCATGCACCAAAGAGCCCATGATGAGTGCCCATCAAACACTTAGACTCCATATGGGCTTTGTGTTTGATTTCCTGGTCTCCCCCTGACCCAGCTAAATGCTCTGGCTTTTCCTCACCAGCACCAGCCCCAGTGTCTGGTTGGGAGGTTCCATAGTAGAACTGGATTATCAAGGAACCCTACAGGTGCTTCAGGAGTGGTGGAATGTGACTGGCTTAGATGGGTGTGTGTTGGGGGGGGGGAGAGAACGAGTGTAAGGAATTAGGGGGAAAGCACAGTGTCAGGGGATGAGCTTTGAAATGTAAGGCAGGGTCCAATCAAAAAGGGCCTGTACCCAATACATTAAATCCCAAAAATAACTCACCTCACAAAAACTTGGTTTCAGATAAAATGTGCCTGGCAACTGACACCTATCCTCTGCCCATCTCCTGTTCTCAAATATTTTAGCTTCTACAGAAGAAAGAAGACAGAGAGAGAAGAGCCGAGCAACTAAGAAAAGTAGAGGGTAGCTCCCTGTGTCCCCAGTATTCCCCAGTTACAATACTCAAAGATCGGGTTGATGTTCAAAACAAACATTGGTTAACCAGGAGACTCCTAGAATCACTCATGCTTATCCTAGGAGACCTAGACAGCTGAAAGGTCCAGAATTGTCCCCAATGGTTTTTACACCCAGAACAGGCAACCTCCACAGGTAGCACCCACCAGCAGGCAGGACAGGAGGTATCTGAGTCTTGCAGAAGAATCCTAGGAACTGCCAGCCAAGAAGATGGGAGGCTCGTCCTGCCATTCCATTCATCTCAGGATAGCATCACTCTGCATATTGCGGAGCATCATTCTGTGGCCCTCACTTAGTAAACCGTGGCAGGTTCTTTCACTGGACCAGAGAACTCTGGCATTGTATGCTGCAGTCAGTACGAACTACTCAGATCGAGGGGAAGAAGCAAGTCTGAGTGCTGGAGGACGGACGGACTGAGATTGAAGGTCAGGAGGAACGTCCCAGGAACAATTTAAAAAGGATATAAGGCAGAAGCCATCATAGAATTCAAAATTATAATTGCAGAGGTAAAATTCTAAGTGCATTTTTAAGGCAGTCAAGTTATACTTTATCTCTGCTCTTCTGTAGTTTCTACTGTATTTTCAATTTTTCTTTCCTCAATGTGTGAGTTGCTACTTACCGGAAGGAAATCACATGTCTTTTCTCCGAAGAGTCTGTTGGCAGTTCTGAGCAAGTACTGAGTGTCAGATCTGTTAACTTCTGCGAGCAGTGAGTGGAAACCTTGGTGGACATCTCCCACGTCGTTCAGACAAAGCACCTGCTCATAGAAAACACAGACTTTAACACTGCCATTTTACTCCTCCAAAAAGTCTCTCAGCTGAAAATCACAGAGGATCCTGTCTTAAAAGGAGTTGGCTTTAGCTGGCTAACATAGTTTCTCAACGCTGGGACTACCAACATTTGGAGCCAGTTCCTTTGGGGCTGCCTTGTGCAGTGCAAGATATTTTGCAGCATTTCTGGCCTCCGCCCACTAGATGTCAGCAGCACCTCTCAGTGATGGCAGGCAAAACTGTCAACACCAAATGTCTCCGGGAAGCACTAGGCCCCCAGGTATAAACCACTGCCCTCTCAGATGGACACAGGCCAGGAAGGTTAGATGTGAAAACTGAGGAGGAGACAGAACAGAACAAATAAGTAGCTGGAATGTATCTAACCTAACCTGGGAATTATAAAAATGAGCAGAAATAAACATGGAAATGTCTCATTAGCAATTTCATGGAAGTTCTCCAGCCCAGACTGTGTTTTAAATGTCAAACCAGGGTGGGGATTCAGTTGTCCCCGTATCACCCACTGATCAAACCCCCGGTCCAAAGCTGCAGTCCTCCCGTGAGCTGGAAGGAGCAGCCACCGGGGATTCAACTGTAGACAGTGGACATGCCTCTGGACACACCTGGTAACATGATGAGCACATGCAATTTTCTGGGACACTTTCACAAGACAGTCAAAGACTCTAAGACACAAAGAGGTAAGGACTGCCTCCCTAAGGTATCATCCACTACTTCATGTGTAGCTGAGGTCACACATAACCCATGACAGATCAATCAGATTATATATTCCCTCTAAGTGACTCCGGAAGATAGAAGTCCACATTTTTGTTGCACTCTTCATCCATGTATGCACAGTTATACACCAGAAATAACCTGTTTGTCAAAAAGTTCATTTACATAGCTATATTTCAATTTGAAATATATTAGCAAGAAGTTCAAATACAACGAAGTTTAAATCCTTGGCCTTTTTGTGGGACAGGATTATAATTTATCTTACTTATTAAAGATACAATTTTGCTATAACATATTGATGCTTTTATCCAGAGAAAATAATGTAATGACTTGGTTTCTCCTATAAACACTAAGAGGAGATTCCCTGTCTTACACAACTTACCCATTCTACCTATGTCTACCCTTTGCCTATCACCACGGATCCCCACCCCCACCCCACCTGCCAGCCACACTGGTCTTCATCATCTGGTGTGAAGATATGAAAAGACCTGCTCTGTGGAAGCAGAGAAGGAAGCATGCCATTGTCCTTCCGTTATGACAGCACACGTACCTGGGACATCTGGGTGGCAGTGTCTCCTTTGGCTCCCATGAAGAGCATGGCCAGGGCAGAGGAGATGCTCAGGGGAGAGAAGAACACATTCTGCGCGTTGTCCTCTTCACCCAACATTTTTAATAAGGTGATGGCAAAGGTGCCATTTGCTTCCCCAAGATCATCCATCAGAGAAGGTCTCTGTCAAAGACACAACACAGAAATGCATCAGCCAGACCTTCTGTTTTGTTGCCTAGTCCCCCAGACACTGGGTGTGGTCAGCAGAATAACCACACCCCCAAAGGCATCCACATCTAACTCCCCAACCTGTGACTACATCATCTCATGTGGCATGAGGGACTTTGCTGCTGGGATTGAATTGGGGAGCATGGGATGGGGAGATGCTCCTGGATGATCTACCTGGGCTCATGGAATCACAGGGTCTTCATAAGAGGAAGGCAGGAGGGTCAAAATCAGGGGAGGAGATGTGATGATGGAAGCAAAGGTCAAAATGAGGCAGGGCCGCAAACCAAAGAATGCAGGCAAGAGGCAAGGAAGCTGTCCTGGAGCTTCCAGGGGCGGGGGGGAAAGTAACTCTGTGGATTTATGTGGGGTTTCTGACCACAACTGTTAGAGAATAAATTTTTGCTGCTTTCAGGCGCCATATTTGTGTTGCAGCATTGGCTGGTAACTAATACACTGGCTTAATCACAAAGGAGCCAATCCCAGAGCTCATGACTGGTCCTACCGTAGCCACAGGACCTCTGCAGGGGCTCGGCCACCCTCCTAGACCCGCTGGGCCCTTCCCTTCCTAAAAGGACAGCCAGCACATCTCTGTGCCAGGCAATATTCCCGGCAATTTACGTGTATCATCTCAAGTAATCCCCACAGCAACAGGGGAGGCCAGCACAGGTGCAACCCCACGTTGGAGGCCAGGAGACTGAGCGAGATTTACTAGCTTGTGCCAGGTCCCACAGACTGTCATCGAGAAATTCAGGACTGGAACCCACAGCTGCGTCCAAAGCTCAAAGCCTTTACCATTACACAAAATCCCCTTGTTGGTGGTACTTTCCCCTCCGTTTGGTGTCCTTAGCACAATGTATCAACCAAGTTCAAGTTCTATGAGTTATACATAATGCTCTGTAAATAAAAAATGACATTTCTGTCAGTGGGATGAATTTCAACAGATTGGGAGAGTTTGTCTGGGATGGTCTGACCTAATACAGGGGCTGCTGAGAAGACACAAAATTTACTATGAATCAGGGGGCTCCAAAAATACACACCATTTTCCACTGGAGTTGCTGAAACTGGGCTGGGGAAGGAGCCCAGGAGCAGGGATGTAAAATATGAAGCCCAAATCTCAGTCATCAGGTGGATCCCTCAAGTCAGAGGCACCGATTTGGGATCCAGCCTGACCAAGCTGACTTTGTCCAGCACCCAGCTTGATGACACCTTAGTAAGCTCCTTCCTACCTCTCCCCCAACCTGCCTTTCCTTAGGGTATTTGCTTTAGACAACTTTTCATTGTAAACGCTTTCTCTGCTCCTTGTATATGGAAATATCTTGAAAAACCCTTCTCCTTTTTTACAACCCAGAACAGTCTTTCTCAAGTCCCTGGGAGTCCTCCCTTTAAAAATGTAATTGTCAAGGAAGATGGCGTCCTACCTCCCAGGCCTTGGGCGTGGCAGGTGGTGGTAGGACCTTAAAAAGCTTATTAATTATTACAATTTTAGCAAACTGTTTTCAAATAAATTTGAATTTGATCCTAACGGAGCACAAGAGCTGGAACTCAGAGTGAGGCAAACATAAGTTTAGGTTGGTGAAGGTGAGCACGTATATGCACCAGCCTGCCCGTCTGTGTGTATCTGTCTCTGTGTGTATATAGTCATCCTGCCTGAACAGGCAAAGGAATGAACTTAATGTAGTATCACATCAACTTCACCTATTAATTGCTTAATTATAAATGTTCATGTCTGGTTTTTTCCCCCTCTTCCTCTTCCTTCATCTCCTTTCCTCTCCTCCCTTCCTTTTCAACATCCAGGTACTGACCAGTAGCATGGCATTTCCCGGCAGTATCTGCCCCACAGCAGTGACACACTGGCACACACTCACACATAGGCCCTCGAGGATGTGGCCCTGCTCACATCCTGGAGACGCGGGGACTGGAACAGAGGAACCGAAAGACTCTCCCTCCTGCAGTTCCTCTTGGTGCCCGATTTCATTTGCACATACAAGCTTTCAGAGGGTTGGAACTTTACACAAAATGGACCTTGTCCAACGCACCTAAAAAGGAGTTAATTTCAATATAAAACAAAATAACACCTTTGGGCGCCAGTGCCACAATTCAACTGCCTCGTAAAAACACAGCAAAGTGGGAAGGTCGGATTTCCAGCCAATAAAATGAATTGGCATGAAACTAGTTCTCCTGTTACAGGTGAGCAGACAAGGCCAGGACAATCGCTGCTGTCCTCAGGTCTCACAGTAAAAGTGGCCATGTCTATGACAGAAGCAAGCCTTCTGCGCCTAAGCATGTGGCACCTTGGTCTTCCGGCCACTTCGCCTGCCACTTCCTGGCTCCACTCCCCCTCTCCATACACATCCCACAGTGAATTTGTTCAAACAGCATTTATGTGGAACTTTCCTCATATGGGTTTGGGGAAGGAAATGGACAATAACTGTCATGCTTCCTGACTGGGGGCTCCTCCCTCGGGGAGACGTGGGGACATAAATGCATGGTTTCAAGCCAGCCATGCACTCCCCAACAGGAGGATTTACAAAGAGCTAAGGGAGACCACAGGAAAGCACACGGTGGGGGGTGCTGTAAGGTGTGAACGGAGGAGGTCAGTGTTAGGCTGTGGCTGTGGGGTTGGCAGGTGCAAAGGATGCAGCAGGGAGCGTGTTTGTGTGGGCCCAGGGAGGGGTCTGTGTGGTGTCCTCCGAGAGACAGGGTGTGGTGAGGCAGGATGGGCCCCTTGTGCCAGGTTTAGAAGTCTGAACTTGAACTTGGGCTGGAAAGTTATCCAAGACTTTTAAACCAATGTTTTACAGAAATACATGGGAGTTTTAGAGAAACACATGGGAAAAGGCTAGGGAACCAGCCGGCGGACCACTGCCCTAGACTAGTGACTGCCCAATGCAGACGAAGCTTCTGCAGGAGAGGGCGGCAGTTGGAACTGCCCACGGGGAGGCTGATCCCACCAGGGTCAGGAGCAGCAGGAGGCAAAGATCACACTGGGGCCTCTTAAAAGACAACAGTCCCAAAGGAAGTCACTTATGCAAAGCCCCACATCACCAAACCAAGGCTTGCCATATTTTGCCATGTAACCGTGGGTACGCATTATTCGTGTGCATTATCCATGGAATTATTATACCATTATGATGTCCATGGTATGTAATCATTATACCCATGTATGAGGCACATCTTTATTTTTCCCTCAAAAATTTGGGCAAAAAAGGGCGCATTATACAGCACTTTTTTGTAAAACTACAAAACTACAGTTTCTGCTCTCCTGGAAATGAAGTCTTAAGCTGTCCATCAGGAATCGCCTGATCAACACTAGTTCGACCACCTGCCTGACAGACCCTTGTGGTCCCTAAAGGAACGTAACTGTGCGGTAACTTCCTCATCCTGCTCCCTTCTGCCTATGAAAGCCTTTCCTTCGCTGCAGTGTCCCGGTGCTCCCTTCTGTTTGCTAGATTAGATGCTGCTGGATCCGAACTGATTTCTTGCTCAAATAAATTCTTCAATTCTTAAATATGCCTCAGTTTACCTTCTCACAGACTGCTGGCTCATGATTCTAAGGTGGGGCGAGGAGCCTCAGGAAGTGTATGTGCGGAACCAGCCCGGAATGGGGAAGGCGTGCACGCCCCGCGAGCCGTGGAACAGGCCACACCGACGGCGCGGTCCAAAGACAGCCCACAGCATCCTGCGGCCAGGACATTCTGGGCAAATGGCACGGCATTGCTCAGAAGGCACCGGGAAGGCCGAAGCCAACAAAGCCATTCCCGTTTCTGGGAGAACTGAAACAGTAGTTAAGTCCAGTGTTTGCAGGTAGGAAGAGGAAGGAAGGACTGCTGTCCAATCAGGAGGGACGTCCTGGGAGAGCTGGGAGGGCGTGTGCGCCAGCCCGGGGAGGCGGGGAGGCAGGAAGGGAGAGAACTTTGGAGGCGGCTTGGGCCCGAAACACTCTCAGCAAGAAGAGGAAGCAGGGGCTGGAGCTTCAGGGGACAGGCATTTGCGGAGGAGGTGGCATCACCCAGCACCCTCGGAACTCGCCCCAGTCTCCCCAGAAATTCCAGGCCAGAATGCAATTAGCGCGCCAGTGTCCCGGCTGCGCCCTGCGGCTCCTCCCACTCACCGCCCTCACGTTTCTGCCCGAGAAGGGCCACACCAACCCTAGCCTGGGTCACCCGCCACTCCCTCACTGTTGGCAAACGGCCACGCAGTGGCGTCAGCAGGCTGCAGGGTCACTCCCACCCCGGGGGACCACCCTCTGCTCCAGGCAAGGTCGCCCCCGTCCTGCGCCCCCTGCCCAGGCGGACGCCCACCTTAGCACCCAACACCACGCCGGATGGGAGCAGTCAAGGGCGCGGCGGGGGCCGCGGCGACCCCAGCCCGACAGCACTCCCTCCCGGTGGCAGCCCTCCACGTTTCCCCTAGTCCACCTCGTCCTCTTCCTCATCTAGCGTCTGCCATTTGCGTTCTTCCCTCCTTTCCACTCCCCCGTGCTCCGCCCCAGCTCCTGGCAAGCAGGGTCCCGAGGACCCGAGCGCGTCTCAGCCCCGGTACCTAGCAGATTCCTGCTGCCGCTGCCGCTGCTGCTGCTCCGGTCGGTCCTCGGGGCTAAGTCCAGTTTGGTGGATGCTCCACGTCCGCTTTGATTTCGGGCAAGGCTTCCGGCCGATGACTCACCGCAGCCCGAGGCTGCACCGGCCAGAGCCACTTCCGACCCCGCATCCCCAGGCTGGCGCCCGGGAGGAGCCCGGGCCTCGCCGGCACCCTGCTGCCCAGCGGGGCATTGGTTCATTTTCCCGGGTTAGGACGCGCAGGATTCCTGTTTAGTCTCTGTAATTCTGTTTAGTTTGGACATTGGGACTTAACTTTGGAAAGTAACCAAAAGCAAAATCAGGGGCTAAAAATGGTTCGTAAAGCTATTTGTTTACAAACTGTTCGGGTACACAGCCATCAAAACAATTTTTGAGTATGCGTCGCGCCCCCACCCCCGCCTAAGTGAACTTCTGTGCGCTAATGTGTTAAATATGAATGTATGGTGAACACTCTAAACCACATAAAGAGACATTAAGAAGAATAAGGAAGAAAAGATTTTGTTAGTAATATGTATTTTTATGGTTACAAAAAGTATTTTAAAATTTAATGAGGCCAGTGTAATTGAATATGTGTTTGTCTTAATATTAAAGGCTTTGCAATAGAGTTAATCTGAAGGCTTGGTTTTAAGTTCAGTTTATTTCTGAACTTGCTGCCTGTCAGGAGGAAAGTCTTCTCAGGAAACAGGTGGATTTAAATGGAAGAAAGGTATCTTTGGTTGTACTGACTAAATCTTGACACTTGATCTTTTCAATCCACATACTAATTATACAAAGATTTCTAGTTAAAATGTCATCAGTAAAAAACTATTCACCTTGAAAATCAGTTCTTTCCGCAAGCCAAGTTTTTAAATGCTGTATTTTTAACATTTTAACACTTTGAGGCCCACCAAATGTTTTCTATTTGGAAGACTTTTATGAAGTTTTGAAATTATATTTCCAAGTTTAAGCGCAACTACATGAGAGTTATAATATCTTTTTGAGTAATAAAGTCCCCTGGGGGTGGGAAAACATGTAAATAGAGGTTCTCAAAATGATCATTCTACGCTTTCGAAAAAACAGTTGACTCCTCTCTCACCAAGAAGATGCACCTTTCCCTGCGGCCGCCTAGCGCCCCCAGGCTGAGACTCCGACTGTTTTAAACAGACGCCTGGCACAGGAACACGCCCCCTGCCAATGGCAAAGAAATCCGCGGGAGCTCCTTCACAGAGCCTGTCTGCTGTCGCAGGAGAGCGGCTGGCCGCAGCGGCAGCTGGCCGGGGGAAGGAAAATGCGGGGTCGCAGAGTCCCCCCGGGGGGGACTTCCTGTCTTGGTTTCATTTTGGGAACTAAGACATAAAGTCATCTTTTATCCTATAATGCCGAACCAAGATCTGATACAGAAAACACATTTTCTTATGATAATTTATACACTGCTCAGGTCAGATCCCCTCTTCCATTTTATTAAACAAATATCCGAAAGGCAACCTGGAGTGACCCACCCATTCTCTAAAATAAGAATCGCAGCTGTGTATGAACATTTTTTAAAATAAATTAGAAATGCAGATGATTTTATGGAGAACTAGTATTACTAAAGGTCTGTCCTTATAACTAACAATGCATATTTATGTAAATTAGAAATTTACTCTTTGTAAGATTTTTAAAAGCAGAGATGTTAGTATGACTAAGCCCTTACAATAATTAATAAAATTTTTTTATTTTGGAATACTTTTAGAGTCACAGAAAAGTTGCAGAGGTAATATAGGGAATTTCATATACTCCCAACACAGTTTCCCCAAATGTTAATAAGGCAGGAGAATTAGATGTTAGAAGAATTTTTGACAAGTGGGAAAAGGGAAAGTGAAACAGATAGGGCCAAACAATTCAAGCAAATGAGAGCCAGCTAGCAAACTGCAAGATCTTTTATCTCCCCAATAAAGGGCTCTTGAGAGCTAATGGTTTACACTTCTCCTCCCTAACCAGAGAGTAATTAGCTTAAATCATCAGGGTCAGGGAAATAGATAACAGAGACCCAGTTGGTGCCTAGTGCCAAGAACAGATGAAATCATGGAAATAAGTAACCACGAAAAAAAAATTGAAGTCCACGATAGAGGCAAAGCTGACCAGAAAGTGACCCTGGTCCCTCTGTGCACTTATTCTGGGAAAGCAACATAGTAAAGGACACACCTGGAAAGCTAATGAATGTTCTACTGAAAACCTCCCCTGAGACCTCCCCTAGGGTTCCTGGCAAAAGAGAGAAAAATCCTCAAGACAAAAGGCTCAGCTCAGGCCCCCTCTAGAGCACACCCATGCCTTTTCTTTCTCAGCCAGGAATGTTCTCCTAACCCTCTAGGGCCCCCAGGAGACTTGCAGCCAGGTGAGCAGTGGGCATCGGCAGCTTGTCTGGGGCTCATCCCCTGCAACTGTCTCGGAGGCCCTGTTTTTCTCTGACTTCCCAGTGAGCTAACAGCAGCCCCACCTAGGCTCACTTCTTTCCTCTAACATTGCTAGGGAGCCAAAGCAGCCCACGTAGGCTCTCTCCTGGTGCTTCTTCTCTGCTAAGGCCTTCCTTTGCCTCTCTGTCCCCGGCTTTAATAAATGTACTCTCAAAATCACCTGGACTTCTATTGTGAAATCTGTCCTGCACAAAGTCAAGATCCACACAGCACAGGTGGCCCTTCTCCAGCCCTGGTCCCTTTCTGGGGACAGTAACATCTTACATGACCATGATACATTTGTTAAAACTGAGAAGCCAACATTGGTATGTTGTTGTTAAGTAAATTCCAGATTTCATTTGGCTTTCACTAGTTTTTCCGTTAATGTCAACATAAGTATTCTTTAAATAGATAACAGGAAAGAGGTATTTAGTTTTCCAGTGGTACTTCATGAGCTATCAAAGTTATATTCCAGAAAAAGTTCTTGTTCATCAATATATCGCCTTTATAAAAATTTTCCTTCACTAAATACTCCATGTGACATATAAGTGACAATACAGTGACCAACAGCTCAAGAATTCTAAGGCATTCAGTTGAATAGCATAGTATTTCTGAAATGTAAATAAAAGTCACATTAAAACAAAATGTTTACTGGTAAAAATAAAACTTGCCATCCTCTCTAGGTATAAAGATAGAACATTATCAAGATTTATTTGCTAATATTCAAATGTGAAAAAGATCTAGGCTACACACAAGTTTTTATTATGATTGTTTTTCCACCTGACGCTGTATTTTTCACATTGTAAAATGGTCTTGTCCGATGAGAGAGATGTGGGTCTAGGGGGAACAGAGTCTCCCGTAAAAGACAATGCTCTTGGTTTTGTTGTGCCTGATGAAGAAAAGGAATGGGTGGTCTGCATTGAACTCAATGGAGGGGAGTTTAATTCGAAACTCCACCTCACTCCCCGTACCTGCTGCGGCCTCTGTCCCTTGTTCATTTATTTCCACAAAAGCCTTGTGGAAAACATTGGACAGAAACAGCTGTCCCTCTGCCGACATCCCCGAGAAATCAGCCTTGCTCGGGGTAAAGGCGTCACTCATCCCCATGCTCCTTAGGGCGGACTTGAGATCGTAAGTCTCTTCCAGCTTGAACCTGGGAAGGTGCAGCTTCACGTCGTACAGCTCCATCATGTCTGCGCTTGTCCACTTACTCAGCTGCTGGTAGGTGACGGCCTTTTCCAGCTGCAGGTGTGGAACCAAGGAAGAAAGAGTCAGTAATTCCAAAGTGAGTCAGTAATTCCAAAGTGGAGCAGAAAGTATTGCCTGAGGGAGATCTATGTAATGAGACAGATGAATTATGATTACTCCTATTACCCAGGGTAACAAAACACACACATATAGCAATTCTTTGTGTCATAACATCCTCCACATGGTTGACCTATGGAATCTTTGTTTTCCACATTGATAGTTTCCAAGATGTAAGAGAATTAAATCTTGATTTAAAATGAAAGTACTTCTACGATAATAGGCAAAATATCAACTATGTGCTCAAAATAAATATAATTTGCATGTTGTCTACACAAAAGCATGTACTATAGGACAAGTTGTATGTCAGGGCACGAAAACATTAGGTTTATTAACATGGGAGACAGTTCTTTGAAAACAAAATCTGAGGCAAAATAAGATGCCTATAATCATAAAAACATGAATTTAGTAACCATAAAAAAATGAAGAAAAGAAAGAAAAGAAAAAGAAAAAAAGAAAGAAAAGAAAGAAAAATCTTAACATCTTAAGAGTAATGACTTTTTTATAGTGGTTTTCAGGGTGCATTTTCTCCTTTTTATTCTTAATTTTTTTATACAGTAAGTATATATGTATGTATATATATACATATACTTATGTGTATGTGAGGGGGAAAAGAACAGTGTTTGAGTTTTAGAATAATCTATTCTAAATCATGTGCTTTTGCTGCTTGGTGAGTTTTCTAGACCAAAGTATTGCCATCAATGACATACTTGTAAGTGATATACATTAATAATGTGACAACATCTTCTGCTCAGGGACCTGCGCTCTTAGAAAGAAAGACTTATCTTTCAGGGCAGGACTTTGATGGTTTAGTTTCCACACTTCATCTCATTTTTACCATCCTCTCCAGTTTCACAAATTTTATGATACAATTGGAAATCTTTTCTACACACTAATAAGGCCATGAACATGTATCAGTATAAAAAGTTCAACACCCATGAAAAGTTAGGCACTGTGCAAAGAAAGGCAGGCCACCTGTTGCAGAGAAACAACGTTCAAGTTAGACATTCAAATTGCTCGGGAATGTCATCTGAGCAAAGTTATGTCAGGCTGAACGGAAATTTAGCTGAAAAACAGACTACATAAGTATTATATAAATTATTTCTCCTGAAAACTGTTTACTTGATAAAGAAAATGTTTTTAAAACTTTTGGAAGTTATTTTAATGTTTTAAAATGTATATCAAATGCTACATTAATGCAAGTGATTAAACAATTAATCTCCCTTTAGGTAGATCTTACCAGAGGGAAAAGAAAGACCTAGATCCACTGAAAGACTGTTATGATCAATCCACCCAGCTTTGTGGCTGTCAAAGAATATCCGCACCTGTTGTTCACGTGACTGTTTGTGGGGCCACCCCATGCTACAGGTGTCTATCAGTGACTTAGCCTTTCTAAAGGATAGTAATATCATCCTCACAGAATGTTGTAAAGCTGAAGTGATATTGTGAAGATGAAGTACCCAAGGCTCAGAGGACTGTGGTTGCCTTCCTCCACAGGAATTAGAAAATAGTGTGGCCACATACACAGAGTTAAACACTGGAATCATCCTCACGTCAGACAGAGGATGTCTTTACCTGGTCCAGCCCACCGATGTCTTCTGGCAGCAGAATGAACAGGCTGAGGTCACGGCTCTTGTAGTAGAGTTGGAGGCCAATAGCTTGTGGCTTGTCTATGTGAAAAATGGGAAGGTTTTTCTTCATTGACATCATTTGTACTGGTTTGCTTGTAGTCTATAGAAAATAAGTAATGAGGTCATGAGAAAGAGAAGGAGTCTGGAACATGGGCAAAGTTGGTGATCCTCTGCTAAATGCTGACTAAAGTTATTCAGACCGCGCTCTCTGGAAATATGTGTTCAACTGGATAACATCATCGACAGGTGAAATGGGAGTTTCATTCTCTAACATTGTGGCAACGTGTATATATCATAGCAAGTTGATTCTGTCAAACACCTTAAAAATACATAATCTTATGCAAACTATGTAAGTGCAAATGATTCAAAAACTGAGTAAGATGTGTACTTCAAATGCAAACATTTTGAGGAAGATTTTCAATATTTTAAAAACAGAAATTCACAAAGAGAATGAAGAGATAAGCAATAGACTCAGAGAAAATATTTGCAAAACATATGTGATAAAGGAGGTGTATGCACAATTTATAAAGAACTCTTAAAAACTTAGTGGTAATAAAACAACCTAATTTTAAAAACAGGCCAAAGATCTGAACAGAGAGAGAGAGAGAACTGAGATTAAGTTTTGAGACTCTAGAGGTGCCATATTCCAGCACATGTCACTTCCTCTTGTTTACATAAGGCAATGCTAACATCATTCACCTTGTACTGGAGCTAGTTTGGAATGCTTTTCTATCCGTTGCTACTGAAAAATTCCTGGTGACTATGCTAAGGTGACTACCCAGCTCATTTCTAGTTAGTGTATTGGGTTATAGCCCCGTCCCTTCCCATAATTATCCTGCTGATTGAGGACCGCCTATTGCACACACCCACAGGGTTGCAGCAATAGGTCCTCAGCAGCATTGCTTGTGTGAAAGGACCCACCCAAGGACTAAACAACTTCAACAAACTTTGGCCTAGCTCTTCTTTTCCTAGGAATTTGGAATGACATCTGTCAGACTGTCTCTACAATGGAGGAGGCACTGTGGGCACCCAGGTTCTGCCATTGCTGACCAGGACAAAGAGGACATTAGGCTTCAGCCTGAGGAGAATGATGGAAGAAGCAGTTGAAAAGACAGAGAATGAATCTTGACAACACTTGAATCCCTGTTTCCACGCAAGTCCCAAGACCCATCCACCTCCCAGCCCTTGGAAGCTATGAGATACATCTGCCATCTTATGTCTGTCTTGTTTTCGCTGTAGTGGGTTCCTATTACAAAAACAAGTGGTTGTGTTCTGACACAGAGAGAAGCCTTAATGAAAGAGGTGAGATTTTTACATTTTTATTTTTATTTTTGGAGGGAGTAGAAGATAGTATAGGCTTAGTAGAACAAGAGAACTAAGAGTGAAGACTTTGGGGTCACGATTCTGATACACTTCTAAATTAGTCACTTCCCACGCTGGATATCTCACCTGGGAAGTAAATGTAATAGCTCCCCTACCTTCTCTAGCTTAGTTATAGCAAGTACTGAGTGCTAAAGTATGTGAATAGTTTATTTTCAGAGGAAAACAATGAATAGGGACTTTCAAGGTGGGATGGAACTGGGGACTTTCGTTTCAGCCATCCATGCCCTAGTAAGAGCCATACTTTATAAGAATATATATTTAGAAAGAGGGGTACATTTAAAATAGAATACCTTTTACAATGCCACATGAAAATCCATACTGATTGTTAAAATGTTCCTACCTTGTTTATTCTGAAAGGCTTCTCTGTGGTGTCTTGGACTAAGAATTGATGTTCCCAGATTCCTTTAAAGTAAAGGGCATTCACCAGAACCATTCTGGTTGCAGAATCCACTTCATCTTCAGGTAGGAGATTCACAATTTTTCCTACAAGAGCAAAAGACAGGTTACAAATGGTATAGGTATATCCTGATGACATACCACACTTAAAAAAGTGATGATTGTGAAATACTGTTAAATGATATCTCCACACACACTCTAAACCAGCAAGGTAGCATTGACAGAATACTAGTCACTGATCTTACTCAATTTTTACCGGTTGTTCCAATAACTTTTTTTTTCTGGACCAGAATCAATCCAAGATCTCTGGTTGCATTTAGTTATCATTTCCTTTTAGTCCTCTTTAATCTGAGACAGTTCTTCAGTCAATTTTTGTCTTCTGTGACCTTGACCCTTTTGAAAAATTTTTGTAAGAATGTCTATCAGCTCAGATTTGTCCAATGTTTCCTCGGTGCAATATTTAGGTTATGCGTTCTTGTGAGAATACTGCTGTTGTGGGTTGAATTGTGTCTTCCAAGAAAGATATGTCGAATCCTAACCCCTCAAGAGATGTGAACTGGCTCTTGTAACCCTCCAGCACCCCCCTCAGCTGCTGCAGGCTTCACAGGGGCAGCCCGCAAAACTCTGTGCTGCTTTATTTGTTTGTTTGTTTATTTTTTATTATTTAAGATCTTATTTATTTACCTTTTTAGGGAGAGGGGAAGGGAGGGAGAGAAACATTGATCGGCTGCCTCTTAAACATCTCCAACCAGAGACCTGGCCTGCAAGCCAGGCATGTGCCCTGACTGAGAATCGAACCTATGACCTTTTGGTTTGCAGGACACTACCCAACCCACTGAGCCTCACTGGCCAGGCATGTGCAGCCTTATTTAAAAGTCCTAAGGGTAGCACTTGTAGAAATTCTAGCAGATCTGAGGTGTGGCTTGAATGTCTACTGAAAACAAAACAAAAACACCCATCTTCTTGGTTTTAGAAATTAAATGTAAATGAAATCTTCAATGCTGATGTGAAAACTTTCTGAAACATTTTTTTACTTTTTCTCTTTCTGATTAAAGACAGTATATTAGGTCACCGGTTCAATTCCAATCTGAGCACGTGTCTGGGCTGTGGGCTAGATCCCGAGTTTGGGGTGTGCAAGAGGCAACTGAGCGATGTATCTCCCACGCACCGGTGTTTCTCTCCCTTTCTTTCTCCCTACCTTCTCCTCTCTCTAAAGATAAATAAATATATAAAGTGTTTAAAAAATAAATACAGTATGTTAAACTTAATTTAAAATGTCTTTGATGATTTAACATGAATAGTCCCTCTGTGTCATTTTTAAAATACTTTTCCTTGCACTGTCGCTTTAAACTCTGTATCATCCTAGTTTAATTATTCTATCATTTGATCGATTTGTAGGAGATGCAAATGGAGAACACATTGAGCACTGCAGTGTACATGTATCTTGATCTCAAGTTGGTTGCAATCAAGTTGTTTTAAGTCTTACTGCATTGTTCTCTGGGTTCATATGTTTTCAGGGAACCTAGCCTCTTGAACTCGCAGCCGTGTTGTTAATTTACTTGACAAAGTATATATAAAATGTACTTACATACATACAACTTCAAAGTAACACAGAGCAAAGGGACTCATCTGAGAAATGTCTTACTACCTTCTTGAGAGTTACAGTGCCACCTACTGGACATTCTTTTCACAGATATCCAGGTTACGCCCTGCTGGGCATGTAACAAGGTGACACTAGAGCGTCCAATGTGCCCAGCATGTGATAGACTTTGAGATTACAAATACTTAGACATTTGTCTTCCCCATCCTTCACTTTTTATGAGCTTAAAGACTATAAAAAGAAACAAGAAAAAAATTACAGCAGTGTGTGAGTGGTATTATCTTTGAGAATTCAACTCTGAATGCTGTGTATGCCCCACCAGTCCACAGGACAATTTGGAAAAAGACCTGTTTGAAGGAGTAAGGTAAGAAGCTTCTTCAAAGTGGTCCAGATAAAACCTAGTCACGCCAAAGAATTCCTAGCAACTTTTCCATAAGGACGCATGGAACTCTCCTTGACAAAGTTGAAGTTGCTGAATAGCCAATCAATTCTTAACTTAAACTGATGTTGAATAGCCCCAAATAGCAGATATTTGTGCCCAACATGTAAAACAACATACAGAAAGACCTGAGCTTTTTCCCTCAATGGACGGTTCACTTCTAAGAACAAAGTCAGCAGGACCAGCTGGAGGAATGAAGTCATGGGATGTGCGAAATAGGTGCTTAATAAAACATCTGACCATGCCCAGGGGGAGCATAGTTTTTGGGGGGCCTCTTATTTGATGAGTACTATGACAACAGAGTATTTTTCAAAGCATGCACATCCTGTATTTTGACCACATAGTGACCATAATCTGAAGTTTACTCGTTCCTCCATAATTTAAAGTATTTGCTTCTTCTAAAACAGATCTTCTCTGCTGTCAAATATGACTGCCACCAGACACACCTGGCTACTTAAGTTTAAATTATTTAACATGAACTAAAGTTAAAAATTCAGTTCCCCAGTTGAGTTAGCCATATTGCAAGTCATCTCTGGTCACATGTGGATAGAACGTGTATCAAATTGGGCATTGCAGATGTACAGCACAGTTGTCACTGGGCAGATTTCCTGGACAGCTCTGTCATCTAGACAGTTGTCAGGCTCTGGCATGTGTCAGTCTACCCCAGGGAAGCACAGCAAGGACTGAGCTTTGCATTCAGCATCAGACAGCAGGTCCCCTCCTAGCTGTGAAAGCCTTTGCTGGGTGTGAAGATAGCAGATTAGGTGCTTGCTCCCAGCCTTCTCTCTGTAGGGATTTCCAGACAACATACTAGGCACTGGGCTAAAAATTTGAGACAGATCTAGTTCAGTTTCTTACTGTTCTTACTCTCCATTCCACCATGTTGAATTTGAGTTGTGTTTTACAATGTGCTTTTTCTTACACAATCCCGTGCGGTCCTCATGCCAACTGGAACAGTGCAAGTACTCAGTAAATGCTAACTAATTCTAATTCTAAAAAATAAGACTTACTTTCAGATGAATCCAGATCTGGAATGAGTATATTGTCACTCTTGCCTCACCATGACTTTTGAGTCATTAGTTCAATGAAAAAGGAACGGAGAATTTAGGAATGCCAACTTCCTCAATTCATTCCAACAAACATTAACGTTCCAGACAACTACTCTGAGCAGGCCTGTGATATGTGAGCTATTCAAAGCTGAAACTCAAATGTGACAGAGCTCTTGTGCTTGGGTCCTTGAGTCCCAGAAGAGAGGTAGACGAAATGAAGCATTAGGGTGAATTTCAATAACACCATGGGGAGTGTCAACAATGGGATGATACCTGGACAAGGCACTCTGGGGACACCTCCGGGGACACCTCCGGGGAAGCTTACCCTCTGTCTGGCTTTCCACCCAAGAGTTGATCTCCTTTCTGACTTGGTCAGCAGCTTCCAAAAAGTTAACAGACTGTGGCTCTGCACCAAAGTATGTTTTCATGTCTTCTAAATATTTCTGAAAGATAGAGGTAAAATCTCCTTTTGTAGAGTTTTTCCAAAATGAAGAGATGAAGTCCATTTAAATTATCAAAAAGCTAGAAGGAGAAACAATTTTCCCCACACACACATGTCCAACATTCTCTCCTCTTATCCCCACTTGAGTTTTTGTCAAAGACTACACACACACATACACACACACATGCACACACCCTCTTTAAACTTGACTGGACACTGACTAGTCATGCAGAACTCCGTGTATAGAAGACAGGCCTACTGCTCACAGCTCTGACACCACTGCTTGAAATCTGAAGATAGCTTTATTGTGTCTATGGCTAATCCCGCCACCCTATCCAATGCCTTGCTTTTTGTCCACTAGACACCTGTATCCTCCTGCTTCCTCCAAGATGTGCCAAAAGATGTGATGGACAGATGTGAAAGAAATCAATGCTTGTCCTGGCTCTGGGTAGACCCCTCTGAGGAGCCCTCGAGTCTGAATTGAGGATGAAGTCATGGCTGGCACTATGGGGTTCCAATCATCTGAGAAGGGTGAAGTTGATATTATTCCATGGTAAGAGTCTTTTCAGTCTCTAAAATCATGATGGGAAGTGACTTGTCTGATTCCAAGGTCAGCTTTGCTCTTGAGCACACCATCTCCAGTCCTACTCCTATGACCAACACCACCCTCTGTTCCTTCGGATTTACCCCACATCCTTGCTCTCCATGTTTGGTTCCATTACCCATGAAACACATGTTGGCACAGGGAATATATAAACCAAATTTAAATATTATTACTGTGGATAAAGATCTGACCACTAGGCCTGATTTGAGAGTGATTATCAGTTTTCATTACTAGACATATGGGTTAGTCTAAATGATTGTTTACCAGAAATGCAGACCGTGTTAAGGTGGTCCCTGGGATCCCTAGAGAAATGTGCAAAGAGTTCATTGAATAGTCTCACGTGGCTCTTCCTTTCTCATCAATTTTAAATTACATATTTGCACTTACATTAAGAAATGGATAAGTTTTCTCTCCGTATAGTCCATTGGCTGTTTTAAGTACATAGGCATCGCTGGGACTATTGATTTCAGAGATGAGTGTCTGGAAATCCGAGTGTATTTCTTCAACCTTCCCCAAGTTGAAGTCCTAAGAAAAGGGATGAGTAAAATAAAAACATTGAACAGAAGTTGCAACCTATAACTAACCTATAGGTAACCTATAGGTAACTAACCTATAGGTCAGTTATAGGTTGCATTGAACAAAAGTTGCAACCTATAAGAACAACCTATAACTAAATGAAATGACTTGGTGTATTATAAACAAAAGCTGAAATCAATTCTAAGGTAGATAAAAATATTTTCTCTAATGTTACCCAAAAACACAAAAGTAATTGAGGGCTTCAGTTTCTTCCCTTTTAGTTTGCAAAAACAGGAACAATTTTGAAAGTTTTGAAAGGGAAGCAAAAGAGGAGAAGACATAAAGGTAAAAAATATGACCCTTCCAAAAAGTGTAGCCATTTTATATTATGAAAAAATGTTTCTATAATTTTAATATATGTTTCTAAGAATATTTACCTGGTAAAGGTTGCTTAAATTAACTGCTATCATGCAGGTACTAAAAGTAGTTTCTCCTTCATTATCAAATGGATATTAAGATATAAAGCAGGGGTGTCCAACCCACGGCCCGTGGGCCACATGAGGCCCAGGATGGCTATGAATGCAGCACAACACAAAATTTAAATTTACTTAAATTATGAGATTTTTGTGTGATTATGTGTTGCAGCGTATTTAATGTGTGGCCCAAGACAATTCTTCTTCTTCCAGTGTGGCCCAGAGACACCAAAAGTTTGGACACATACCGTTTTCCTTTTCTTTTCACTTTCAGGATGAGATTTGATGTCCTGATCTCTGCTAAATTGAAGTACCTGTAATTTCAATAAAAAGACAGTATATGAGTGTACTTTGCAGAGAACTAATCATATGGAATACATCTCAATAAATGCAAGTCAGTCATTCCTATAGCAACAGAACATACAATGAATGAACCCAAGGGGCTCTGATTTGATTGACGGGTGCATTAGCTGAACCTAGTAAGTCAAGAGTTGCTTTTAAAAAATTTTTTTAAAGTCTAATTTAAGTTACTCCTTGTTTTAATATTCTTTATTGGACATTTAGATGATATTAGGAATGCCCTTAGAGGTAAAATTCTCTTGTTTTCCATGTTTCATTTTTATCTACAGTTGCTTTGAAAAGAAGGCTAGCTGTTCAATTCAGACCACCAATTAGCAATTTAAACAAAAACTACCATTACCCCAATTATCTGGAAAATGCAGGGGTCTTAACTGTTGTTTTTCCTAGGTTAGCACTTCTGTTCCTATTGTCTATCACCACTTGACATATGGATGCATATCCTTTCTTTTCACCCCAGCATTTCATTTGCAAGTTAACAGGAAGGATGTGTGCATCCCTGTTTCCCCTGAATTACACAACAGCCAAAAACACGAGGCAATAATTCCACCTCCCACATCCTGGACCCACCCCGCAAGGAGGAATGCAGTCTGTTTGACCAAAGCCTGTGCCGACACGTGGGACAGAACAGGGGCCATTGTCATAGGGAAAAGGGCGCATGGGCAACTCCTTAGCCTCCGTTGCGCCCTGAAGCTGTCCATGCTTAAATAAACATCGAATCAAACAGGGGCGAGCAACACCCAGAAGCACATTTATACGAAATAGATCCAGCCTGGTATCATCTAAGATTAAGTCCATTACGGAAATGGTTAAGCTTTTTAAGGATTAATTACTAACCAGGATCCTGTTGTTGCTGTTTTAAATCATGCAGTATCTTGTGAAGGACAAGAAGAGGGACGATGTCCTGAGCCCAAGCCCACAGAATTTATATCCCCCCCCGTCCCACTCAGAGTTACTGGCCGTGCCCGTGTGCATCCTTGGCACGGAAGACACCTTCTTGGGGGAAATTCTGTTTTTTGGTTTTTCCATTGTTATTTGATTTAGGGCTGGATTCACTCTTTTTCATGTTTATTTTTATTTAAAGCACACACACACATATATGCATATGTTTACACAAGCATACACACACATATATGGCTATTTTATTGTGTACTTTGTCTATGGCTACACGTACATCCGCTGTGTTTTTAGGATGCTTATAGCAAATCAGTAACACAGATTCCTAATGATTTTCCTAGCAAATTGACTTCCTTTCCCAGGCTCCTTTTTATGGCCTAGAAAACAAATTTTTTGAGTGTCTTTTTTTTTTTTTTTTTTTTTTGGAGGATATGGTTGTAAAATGTGAGCTATTTGGAATTTGGGAGAAAAATGAAGATAAAAGATAAAGAAAGCATTTTGTTTTAAGACTGTGTTTTGTTTTAGAGGTGACTGAGCTTTCCCACTCACCTGGGCTATTTGGGCTGCAGTGGTACCTCTGGTGCCCAAATATACCATGGCCAAGGAGGTCGAGATGCCCCAGGGAGAAAAGAAGATATTTTTACCCTCAGCAGATTCAGCTAGCTTTTTGCCAAATTCCAAGGCAAATTGGTTGATTGATTTTGTTAGAGAATCCATTGGGAAAATCTAAGAAAAATAAAGAGTGGGAGAGAGAGAGAGAACATATTAATAATCCTTTCCACTCATTTAACTTCTGTAAAAGAATTTGGTAGCTTATATGTTATTTTTTAATTATCCTTCAGTGAAATGACAAAAATATATATTATCCAATTTTGATTCCTAAGACTTGAATGGAGTCAGGGGCTTTAAAAAATTGTAGTCCAACATTATTTCACATATTAGAAAACTCAAGTCTAGGGGGCTTACGAGAACCACTTCAAGTCTGAGGGCTAAGGCACAACAGGGAACAGTAGGGCTCTTGTCCGTCAGCAGCTCACTATGAGGACATCACAATGTCACAATAAAAATGACGGTGGAACCAGGTCCCCTCACTCTTCCAGCCAGTGCTTCTGTTCAATGTGCTACACCACCGCTGACTTAACACGGTGAGAGAGAAATAAGTATGCATCTTTTCAACTTCGTACTTCTTTTTACTCACTTTTCACCTACTTTTTTATTTTTTTTAACCTCGTTTATTGCTTTACACCTTTATATACAATATTCCTGGGTTCTGGAATTATCGAGCTTTATTCTATTGAAATCCAACTCTGGCCAAGTTTCTCCTTTCTCTGAAAGCTTTTCCCGACCTGTCAGGTACACAGGAAGTTGTCTGTCACCGAAGTCCCATAACACAGTTTTTGCCACGTACTTGGCAGTTACCGCACTGCTGGTTCTGTTTTCACATGGCGCTACCCTCCCAACTCCAGGGGAAGTTCCCCCACAACAAAATTTCCTTACATTGCTTCAAAGACCTCACAGCGCCTAGCTCAGCATGCTGCACAAAATGGATAACCTGTAAATACTTGTTAATCATGTTCATTGTCTGGGCTTTAGCCACCATTTTTTTATCTACTTAAACTTAAAATCATGCACAATTTAGTGGGAAATGCTTGTAGAGAAGTAGAGAAATCAAGACTCTTCTGCTTTTATTCTTGCTCACTCAAGACCCTCCGAAACTAGTCTTCTGATTAAAAGGACTCAGCTTTTCACTCTCTTACTCTCTCTCTCTCTGATATCTATTCAAATTCTAAATGGTACCTCTAGTTACCCTGACACTTTTTAAGTCTTTTAAGACCAGGTCTCTATTTTTTAAAAAAGAACAACAGTTCAATTTATTGTCATTTTGTAGCCAAATAACTTCTCAACCTGGTTAAATGACTAAAAATAAATCAAATTCCTGGACCTAGAACCTCCTATTAATGCCAGTGTTGTCTAGAACTGGGCCTTCCACTGACCTCACCTGATTCCCTGAGAAAACTAGAATGTCACCTTGAGAAAATCCAGGAGTTCTCTCTCGTCAAATGGTTGAATCAAGGGAGAGGCGTGTGTAGACAACACTTGGGTTTCATCATGAAGAGGATTAAGTGATACTATTGAAGCCCCTTCTAGCCAAAGGTTCCCACTTAACAAAACAGCTTCCCAGCCTCTAAATCATGCCCTTGTTACTGCCCCTGTCTATTCCAGAAGCTGATGCTAATCCTAGGCTGACAGTCTTTGGTTAAAGAAAAAAAAGACAAGTCTAGTTTCACAGTAATTCTACATGCTCAGAAATGGTAGGAACTTGCCTGTGAATATTTTTTCCTTATCAGGTTCAATGCCATCTTGGAAATAACTTCCTTATTTCTTTCAGGGTGATATTCATTCAAATAATGCTTTATTTACTAAACTTTATTTTTTTTAGAACTCATGAATTACATTCATACGGAAAATGCTTGGCTCTTTGGCCAAACCATATTCACCATGAAGGGAGGAGAGAAGAAAGTACTACCTCAGGGTCTAGGATTTTTATCTTTCTACTTGTGGTTATTTTAGAATTTACTTACTTGTAACAAATTCCTGAAAACAATAATTCTCTCTAATGAAAGAATTAATTTCTTGTGGAAAGTTAATATCCAGTTATCTTCTGCTTCATGAATTCTTTCATTAATATCATTATTAATATATCAGATGTAGCCCAGATATGTTGGCCCAGATACAAGCAGAAAAATTCCCTTTTTTCCTTTCGAAAGAAATTTACAGAAGTGCTGAGACAGCTGTTAGTAAAATTTAACCCAACAGTGGAAAGGGTTTTCTGTAGGATGCAATATCTTAGGGTGAGATTTTATAGAAAATCATTTGTGTGTCGAAATAATTTGTCCATATAAAAGCTGAACAATGATTTTTTTTTAAAGAGAAGATTATAATCCCTAAAGCAGAAGCCTACTGTGCCATTTTCAGAATGCAACACTCTATTGTTCAATCTGCAAACAGGTTTAGGGGTGAAGATAGAGAACTATGAAAATAAGAAAACAATTGTGCCTTTTGACAGAATGTCTCATTGTAGAAACACACTCTCCTGCAATGCCAGAATGGGAAAGAACCTCGGAGCGTCTCTGCCACAACTGCCTCATTTTATCAGCTGGAAAGCCAAGGCCCAGAGAGGTTCAAGGTGCTGACGAACATGCACAGGGACCCAGCAACAGAGCCATCCCTGCAGTCCTGTTCTCTAGACCCTGAATACAATTGCTCTTGTCATTGCATCTCATTGTCGCTAAGATTTTAAAAGTAAAAGGGAGGAATTGCACTATGGCAGAGGATGGATGGGGGGAGGGTGCAGCAGAAATGAGGAGGAAGAGGAGAGAGCATAGGAAGGAGTCCCATGTCCTTCTCCAGAAGAGGACATCCAAAGCCCCTCGACTTCCTGATGATGCGGATGCTGTCAGTGACTTCAGGGAGTGGCGCATATCAGAACGTGACATCTCCCCTGCCCCTAGCAGGCCCAAATTCACCTCACACCACTTTCTGAGGGAAGTAATAGTTTGGGGTGTTTTATAATGAGCACCTAGTATAAAGTTGGGGGGTGTAGGGGCTTAGACTGTTCCATGAAAGAGAAGAAAGTCAATGGCTCATGGAATGGTGGCCAGCGCAGATGCTGGGTAGGGATAAAGGGTAGGGAGTCACGCCATTAGACCCACATATTAATGACTAGGATCAAATTCCAGTGAAGGGTTGAGCTCAATTATTCTGAGAACATTCTATTTCTCTCTGGCTATGTTGACACATCCAGAAATGTGATTTAAAAAACTCCATTCATAGTTTCGCAACCCTGGTAAAACGATATATTTCTCTAACTTCTTTGGAAATGAATGCTCTCCCCTCCATTAAGCCTCTTTCCAGTAGAAACTTTGACCCAGCCTGGGGTTAAATCTCTCTGACTTGCACAGAATTCTTGGGGGATGGTGCTCTATCTACTCTTTCTGTTCTAGAGGGTCTTGATCATTTGTTATTTAGTGAGGCACTTCAACAAAAAGGAAAACATAAGTAAACATTTTTAAACAACAAAAAAAGTATTTACAATACCTTGTTTTCTTCCCCTGGCGCAGAATTGGCAATTCGTTCCTAAAGTAAGAAATTGTGGCTGAGTTATGTAACTTTTAACTGTAGAAACTTAAAAAAAAAATGTAGCACCTCCCTCTTCTAAACTCCACCCTTTTGATTCACTTTCACAGGCCCGTACGCTCTGCCTTTCAGGTCTATCCTGGCCAGAAGCTCAAATCAAAAGAGAGACAGTTAATTAAGGTCATGCCTGAGTTCTTTAATTACCCACATTTTCCATGTGGAGACCTGAATTCTGACAAACCGTAACTCATAGTGTCCTTGCTTAATCTCATCTGGAGGCTGCCAACTGACAGCAATTAGAGTGCCTTTCCTTAAAAGGAAGAAAATAGAAAGCTTCGAATGAGTGGGATCACAATGATCAATGAATGTAAATATTACTGGTGTGTTTCCCTTTGTGCAGTTCTTATTTTTCTCTACATAGAGGCACACATACGTTCTCATGAACTGGCTCAGAGTTTAATATTTGAATGTTGGTGTGGCACCTAGAGCAGAACATTCCTCTGGATTTCACTAGGGATTGTGACTTGTGGTCGGAAATTCTGAGATGCCCGCCTGACGTGCACCGAGCTGATATCATTATGCAAGGATGCCCCAGACTATTAATAGCTGAAAGTATCATATGGAAGCTCTAGATAGAGAGGCTGTTCATCATGACAAACAGCAGTCCACCAAAGCATGACTTGGGCTGTATCCTTGTACAGCATGAAGATACTTTACCTATCATGCATTAAATGCCTCAATGTAGGTGCTGTTGAACCAGCCAAGAAATTGTTTCATCTTCTTTAAAGTCACAGACTAAGTTTTATTCATTTCTTCCAAAACCTTCTCCTGATTCCTTCCCTCTTATCTCTTGATTAAAATCCTTACAAATAGATAGACCACCTACATTAAGAAGAACATGGTTGTGCATTATTTTGATGCCTGGGGTTTTTTTGGGGGGGGTGGGGGAAACAGGTACTAGTATCTTAAGTTAACAATAAAATGTTATTGACATACTTTTGTTTGTTTGTTTGTTGTTATTTATGGCATTCCCTATGTATATTTAGCCATACATGTAGATATTGCTAAAGGAGACTTAAGCTGAAGAACTAAATGAATGAGGAAGAGTTTTTGTTCTACTATTTTTATGATATCTGATGTTCATACAACATGAATTTATTTATTAGGTATGCAAAAAATGTGAAACAGAAGGACTCCAGGTGAATCAATATTATCCTAAAAGCAGTCCAGGAAAAGAGAGTAGATAGAATGGGGCCGAGTCCGTTGGGTGGGTGGATCATAGTGGTCTTAATAAGTTTGAGTTACTGTAACAGAATACCATTGGCTGGGAGGCTTACACAACAAACATGTATTTCTGGCAGTCCTGGAGCCCAGAAGTCTGAGATAAGGGTGCTGGTATGGCTGGGTTCTTGGGGAGGGCTCTCTTCTTGGCTCACAGATGGCTGCCTCCTCTGAGTCCTAGCCTGGTGGAAAGAGGAAGCTGTTCCTTTCATCTCCTTATAAGGGCATTAATTATACCACAGGGACTCACCCTCATGACCCAACCTAACCTAAACTCCCAAATGTCTTACCTGCAAATACCATTACACCAGGGGTTAGAGTTTCAACATATGTATCGGGGGCGGGGAGACACAAACATTTAGTCCACAGCAATGACTGAGTGTTTCCCAGAACTGAAGCAAAGTATACAAATTTACAGGTGGGAAAACTCTATTGACAAACAAGATTAATTTCTAAAAAGCATTTTAAAAAGTACTCAATGTAACGAAATTTTAAGAACACTATTTTTAAAAGAAAGAAAGAAAATTACTAAAACTACAGGGAGCAAGAATGATCCTGACATCATACGTTAACTCTATATTAAGAGAAATATGGATATTTTCAGACTCACGACAACAGGGGGACCAAGGATGACAATGGAGTAGGTGGAAACTACACTAACCTCCTATCAGGACCAAAGTGGAATTACAACTAAACTATAGAAAAATCATCCCAAATAACCAACTGAACACTAGCTGGAGAGAAGCCTTATAACCAAGGACTTACAGAAGAAACCAGTTCACAACAGTGAGACTGGTAGGGAGTGCAGAGACGTGAGAGGGCTGGCAACTGAAGTTCTGGAGGGATATTTCAGCAGCCCAGGGGTTCCCTCTGAGTCATGTGGGGTCTAACACCAAGCTGGGCTCCCCAGCCTAGAGCACCAGAACCAACAAAGGAACGCAAGTGACATCTGGCTGTGTAAAGCAGCAGGGTTTCTGTCTGCCAGGAAGAGACAGCTGGAGATTGAGAGCCCTTTAAAGAGCCAACACACAAAATTTGGTTTGCAGCCACTTCCCTGGGCTCCAGCAAAGGGAGGGCAGAATGGACTAGAGATGCTAGAGGAGAGGCTGCGGCTGGTGGTCATGGGGAGAGAGCTGAAAGGCAGTTGTCAGGGGCCCTGTGCTGAGTCATTCCCATACGGCAGAAGCCATCTTTCTAGCGCTGAGCACACCTCTCTGACCAGCAGTCTAAACGGAAGCAAGAGCCCTGCCAGCAGGAATTACTGTGCCTGTGGAACTTAAGCCTGGCTGCTGCGGGATACAGCTGGGGGCTGTTTCAGAGATCAAATCTAATGGAAAACCTGTGAGTACTTGACAGAAGAAGCAAGCATATGCAATGGGCTAAAGATAGTTTATTCAATAAGTGGTGCTGGGAAAATTGGACAGATAACATGCAGAAAAGTGAAACTAGACCACCCTCTTATACCACACACAAGAATAAATTCAAAACGGATCAAAGACTTAAATGTTAACCATGAAACCATACAAATCCCAGAAGAAAATATAGGCAGTAAAGTCTCAGAATTGCTTGTAGCAATATTTTATCTGATATATCTCCTCCGGCAGGGGAAACAAAAGAAAAATTAACAAATGGGACCACATCAAACTAAAAAGTTTTTGCACAGCCAAGGAAACTATCAGCAAAATAAAAATACAACCCACTGAATGGGAGCAGATATTCACTGATACATCTGATAAGGTGTTAGTATCCAAAATCTATAAAGAACTTACAAAACTCAACACCAAAAAAAAAAAAAGAAATAAAAACAAACAAACAAACAAAAAAAACAACCCAATTAAAAAAATGGACACAGGACCTGAATATACACTTCTACAAAGAGGACATACAGATGGCCAATAGGCATACAAAAAGATACTCAACATCACCAATCATCAGGGAAATGCACATTAAAACACAATGAGATATCACCTCACACCAGTCAGAAAGACTATCATCAGTCAATCAACAAACAACAAGTGCTGGCGAGAATGTGGAAGAAGGGAAACATTTTTGTACTGTTGGTGGGAATGCAGACTGGTGCAGCTTTAATGAGGTTCAGGACAGGGTGTAGGCTGAGAAGCCCCAAAACACCCACAGCCATGGATTGGGGAAGAGAGAAGCAGGGGACAGCCATTGGAAGTTACTTTGCATGTCAATAACAGCTGGCTAGCTCCATAGGTATGGGGCTTGGGAAGGAAGTCTTTTTGACCACGTGGCACAAGAAGGAGGCGCCGTCTTGGCCATGTGATTTAGAAAGGAGAAGAAAAATAAGATGTAGTTTGTGGTGTTACAGTATGGATGGACCTGGAGAACATCATGCTAAGTGAAATAAGCCAGTCAAAGAAAGACAAATACCATGTGATTTCACTCGTATGTGGACTCTAATGAACAAACTGAACTAACAAAGCAGAGACAGACTCACAGAGAGCAGGCTGACAACTTGGGGGGTGGGGGCCGGCATTTAGGGGGTGGAGGGGTCAAGGGAAGAGAGGAAAAAGGACTCATGGACATCCACAACACTGTGGTGATTGTCAGGGGAGGGGGATAGAAGGGGACAAATGGTAGTGGAGAAAAATACAATAAGAAAGTAAATGCATACATACATACAGAAAGCTCCCTCCTTCCCGCTCCCTCCTTCCCGCTCCCTCCTTCCCACTCCCTCAAAAGAAGACTCACAATGATACAGAGAGATCTGATCAGATCACTGGGGAGGAAAAGTAAGGGGCCATAGGAGGTTGCTCCGGCAATGGTAAGCAGTTTGAGAAGTTGAAAGCCTCCAGAGTACATGGAATTTGGGGCCGGAAGATTTAAAGCAAAAGGAGGGAAAAGGCTGGCTCTCTGGCTCTCTTCCTTGAGGACGCCTGGGTGAATGCGCTGCAGCTGCCTGTGCTTCCAGAAGGACTGCATTTTGGGTGGGAGAGAAACTCAGGGCCCAGCCTAGGATCGGGCTGGCCTGGCAGAGGGTGGCAGGGTTAGTCTTCTGTGGGTGCTCTAGGAGGCACGGGCTCTGAGGCAGAAGCCTGACATTCTTCCAACATTGTGCAGCTGTTGTGTCTTATGTTGTTTTAGTTTGTAAACTAATCCTATAGAAATAAGATAATTAAAATTAACAGGGGGAATGATAAGGGAACTCCTGAGTTAAAGTTTAGCTTTAATTGATAGGCTTAAGTGATTAAAGCTGTAACTAAAGAGTTAGCGATTTTAGCTTTAATTGATAGGCTTAAGTAACTAATGCCTGGGGAAAGATGTTATTCCAAAATTGTGTAGCTTTTGAATAAAGACTCCTTTCCTTTGTCACCAAACTTTTGCCTCCAGAATTTTGCCTGGAGGGTGGAGGCAGGCAGCAGGACCCCACTTGCTGTTCAGTAACAACAGTTCAGGAAGCTACTACTTACTGTCTTGCTGAATGAATTATGGAAGTGTTTAGACAAATGAATCTAGAAAGTAAGTAGGAAAATGCATGGAGCAAGAACCTCTAATTTTCAAGACTGTCTTAGCTAGAGAAAATAAACCACACTTCAAGCCTTAAAAAATTCCACTGAATAATATTCTGGGATTTTATGTTTGACCAGCTATCAGCAAGTAAACAAAACCAGAGAGAGTTTATTACTTACAAAGATAATAATCATAATCACTAGTATTTTTAAATACTGTAAATGCCAAGAATTCTTTCAGTGGCTTGTTATGCATGAATTCACTTAACCAACCTAGCAACCTTATGAGAAAAGCATTATTTTCTCTAGCTTATACTGAAAGGGAAGAAGCATAAAGACGCTCGCCCCTGGTTAGATGACCCCTAAGTGTTAGAACTGGGATTGGGCTGTAGATGCTCAAGGTCCTGAGGCCACGTGCTTAGCCACTGTGCTCTGTGGGTCGTCACAGGGAGGCAACCCGTTGCCAGGATGCAGCCACACTTCCACAGCCCAACTCTCTAGCCAGGTCAGGGCCCCCCAAAGATTAAGGCATTTCGATGCCTTAATTCCTAGGTCTTAAATTATGTTCCGTTCTTCCTCTGACCCACTCAAAAACGTTGAGAGGTATTTGAAGTGAGCACCCTTCTGCTCTGTCGCCATCCATCTTCTTTCCCCTGAACTCTCTGAGCAATGACTGTGACCTTGACTCTATGTCTGGACCACTGGATTTGCCATTTATTCCTGATGTACTTAAGCTTTAAACACCAGTGTCCAAAGGATACTCACCCAGCCTATCCTTGTGAACTCCTATGCCCTCTGCTGCTGCGTGAAGGTAGCTCTAAACCACCTTTCATTCGACCCCATCCTACCCCAGCAGCAGGGCTCCTTGTAAGAGGGGCGGTTATCCCCTTGGCTCCTTGGTTCTGGCTGCTTTTGTCTTGGTTCAGACAAATCAGCCTGATGCCTGATTGCTGGGAACCAAGCTATAATAGGTCTTGTGATCCAAAGACCTAATGGAATGACAACAAACAAATGGTTGTATGGAAACATGTTTATTTATTATTTATTTGCAATTTTACATCAGGTACAGACACATATGTGCACTACATAATGGTATAAATACACATAATATATATTTGCCTATTGTTCAATGCTCTCTTCAGGATCCTTATCGTAGAAGGGGATAGAAAAACACCACGCATCCTTCCTCATTAAAACAAATAAATGCACTTCCTTAGAAAGAAACAACCAATCACCTGTCTCTGTAACTGTGTCAGCTACATTAAATAGACTGTTAGCAATAATAAAAAATTATATAAAATAATAAATAATACAATCATAGTACTATAAAATAAACTAAGAGAAAGAACTAAATGCAACATCATCCCATTTTAAGAGAGCAGACAATAATAGGATTATGATCTTATGATTGACAGTTGTCCGGTTATTTCTGTATTTACATTTAGCGTATAGTGTAAGTTGTTCAGGAAAACAGAAATACATAGAAAAAGTCTATAAACTCTTAGTGTTAATAGAAATCCTGAGGCTTATAGTTCCTACTACAAAATCCTGTACAGAAACAGAAACTTCCATTTTACGGTGAGACAAATCTGCCAAAGAAGAGGATGGTCCTGGCGGTTTTGTGCATTATAAAGAAGAGGAAAGGGTGATCTGCCACAAACTGTGGGCCTCCGTGGCCAGTTCTCCCGGTGACGATGGCCCCGGTGCCAGCAGTTGCTTCGGTGCCCTCCTCGTTGACATCCACGGTGGCTTGATGAAACACTTCGGACAGAAAGAGGTTGTCTTCCTCTGACATTCCTAAGAAATTGGCCTGGCCCTTGAGGAAGGCATCTTTCATGCCCATGCTTCTGAGAATGGGTTTGAGTTCATAGTGCTCTTCTAATCTGAACTGCGGGAGGTACACCTCCACATCATCCTCACCCATCGTGTCTTTGCCGATCCACGTGTTGAGTTTGTCATACGTTATTTCACGTTCTAGCTACAAATCCAAAAATATAAAAAATAACCAGTGGGTGCTTAGAAAGTAAGGAAAACAACTTCTAAGTCTAATGATAAAAATCGGTGACTACATTGTGAGTGATGTAAAACTGTAAGAGATTGGTAAACTTTTTGCAAGAAGGTAATAGGAATGATGTACGTTTAAGGTTTTGAATGAAAATTTGAGACATGCCACACATACTATCAACTAATTCACACATTTCTGTAAGTAATTGCACACGATTTCCTAAAGTGTAGACATGTTCATTATGAAAGGTAAGTTTAGGCCCAGAAGTCTAAAATAATTAAGGTTGGAATGGCTTACCAACTCCAAGCCAGTAGACACATTTGCAACTGCATCTGGAAGCAACAGGAACATGCTGACATCTCCAGCATATGGGAGTTCTAGAATCTGAGCCTTTAGGTCTTCTATGTATCCAATGTTCAGCATCTCACGCAAGTACATCATCTGTACAGGTTTACTCAGAGTCTAAAGTGATTAAAGAGTAAAATATGAAATTTAATACTAAGATGTCAAGAGATTTACAATTAGATATAAAAGAGAATGGCTTCTGCTTTCATGTTTAAAAAAATCAACAAAATAAATTATTTGTATAAAATACTCGGGCCTTATTACCTTTTTTAATATTACACCCGTTGTGGACAATAATACTACTACTACTAAGAAATTTGTTTCGTATCCACCATGGGCCAAGAACTCTGCTAAATCTCATTGAAATCTTACAACAACCTTTTGAGTTGGGTATTATTATTAGCCAAGTTTTGCAGAGTGAAAAATGGAATTCATGGAGCATCCATAAGGTTATAGCTAGTAAGTGGTAGAGCCTACCTTTGAGTCCAGGATTTAAGTACAGCATCCATGGTTTTTCACCATTGCTCATATGCCCTCATAAAATTACTCAGTGATATCCAGTAGCTTGAAAGAGCCAATCAATTGTCCAATATCCATAATTTATAACTAGCACATCACATAGTGACATCAATGAATGGTCTCTACTCTTTATTTCTCTGCCTTGTCTCAGACCCTACAATACATGTTGGGAAAATCTGTCATGTTGTCTCATACCGTGTTCACTCGAAAAGGATAAAGCCCATTTAATTTCTTCTCAAATGATGTTTTCCATTTTCCTTTGAAGTAAACAGCATTCACCAGGACCATCCTGGTCTCTGAATCTACAGAACCTTCAGGTAACAAGTTTGAAATTTTACCTAAAAAAAAAAAAAAAAAAAGCATATGAAAATTTATGCTGTTCTCAAAAAACAAAACTTTCATGTGTCTCTAGTTAGGCACTTCGTTTTTGCTTTCACTTCTGCTAATCTTCACTTTCCCTGCCTCTTTTACACCATGGTGTAAAACAGTGGTTTAAAAATCCAGAATGGAAATGAAGAAGTAATAAAATAGTTCAACTGCTTTCAAAGGAACAAAAATGTTTCTAAAACCTGTAGAACTTAGTCCATGTGCTTCTTTTTCATTGTGGGAGCTAAGAAATCAAGACACAAAACTATTGCTTGAAATGGTGTTTTAATCCCAAAAGGTAAGAAAATCCTTTTTCTTTTTCTTTTTTTTTCTTTTTCTGTCCATAGCAGACAGAGTGGCATGGTTATTTCAATCCTGGGATTTCCTATGTTTGAAAACATCTGCCATCTCTCATGTTCTACACTAATGTTATTTACAAAATCCAATCATTTGAGTCCTGATCATACGTCTTCCGTTAGTAGACCTCATTTAAAACACCGCTCAGCTAAACAAGAATAAGGTCGCATTCACCAAAATAACTCAGGTCAAATGAATTTTAAGGGATTTAGGGCTAAGCTCAAGGATGGTTTTAAGAAATAGATCAGAGTTTTCTAAGTGGAAAGAAGAACAGAAAATATTTCCCTGGTTTTACCTTTGGTTTCTGTCTCGACCCAGAAATTAATCTTTTTTCTGGCTCCTTCTGCACATTCTAGAAAGTCGACTTCCTGGGGTTCTGCAGAGTAATATTTCTTAGAGAGTTGCATGAATTCCTTTAAAGCAAGAAAAGTGCAGGTGATTACATAGAAGGTAGGCCTTGGTGTAATTGTAAATTATGGGTTTCCTGTCAGGACTGGGGGGCCTGCAACTGGGATGGGGTGGAAGGTGGCATTTCGGGGGTGCTGAAAGGGATATGCACACTGGGTGGAACACCTTCCCTACACTCCAGCCCCAACTCTATTTGCCCTCCTGCATGCTTCGCATTATAGACACTCAATCAGAGGGAGATGGGTGCATACAGTGGCTCTGGGAGCCGGCTCTGTTCCTCCTGACTTACAACCCTGCAAGCAGGGCTTTTGCAGCAGGGAGAGGAAGCACCACTAGGGGGAGCACAGGGGCAGCTGCCACGGCCAGGGCCTTAGGGAGCCCGTGCAAGCTGCACTCTCCCTGGAAGTACGAATCCTAGAGAACAGCTTTGGGAGCGACCTCCCTGCAGCGTGAGGGCCCTGCTGTTGCACTGACAAGATTTACTTACTTTCCTGAATCTCGCAGACTTCTCGCCAAACAGCTTGTTGGCACTTTCCAATGTGTAACCTGCGGTGGGTGTGTTGACGGCGGAGATGAGCTCATGGAAGCCTGAATGGATTGCGTCTTCAGCCTGAGCCTTGAACAGAAGGGAGGAGTCCTCTTTATGTGACACGGGGAGATATTTCTTAAGCAATGGCATTTTTTTCTATGCAACAATAAAATGCTTTATTAATAGGTACTTTTTTCTGGTGCTTGAGAGGAATCTCTGCGGAAACGCTTTTGACATGGATGTGGTGCAGAACTAATGAGATGATGTTGCGCTTGTCTCCTATTTCGCCTGCGGATTGGATTCAGCCGCCAACTACCCGGAGGAAAGGCCACGCCTCTCACTGTCTCCTAAACCCAAAGATCTCTGCGGAACTTTTATTACATTAAAATGTTCCTTTACGAATGTTCTTTAAAAGTTCATATAACTTCAGAAATTACCTACTTTATAACTAAGGGATAGTCCAGGCAGTGGAAAATGTGGGTTTTGGAAAACCATGGAAGGGAGGGGCAATTCCTGCCTACAACCTAATGCTGGTAAACACGATGCCAGACATGGGGCTCAGTCACAGCAGGAGACAGGGCCCTGCCGATGGCTGCCCGCTGTCTCCAGACACCTGGCTGCATGTCCATGTACCGGCCCTCTCCACCTCTACCTCCGCTAGCCCCGTAATTCCCTGGGTGACAGCCAGATGAAGGATTAGTGACCTCAAGTAGGAAGCTAGGGGAGATATCTTCCCATAACCTCACTCAGGAGTGCAATTATGGAAGGTGGTTACCAGTAGAAACATATCTATGTCCAGTTCCTATAATTTAGCTGGAGAGCTGGTATTTAAGGACTACAGTATTGAGAACACATAACACTGCCTGAGAGAAATGGAGAGACAGCCAGAAAGATAATAAATGGACAGAGAGAGAGGTATGGGAGGGATATCTAAAGGTCACTGGCCTCTCAGGAAGTCATGGAGCCTGACCTGCTCCATTCCTCAGCTATTTGTCACTCCTTCCCTTCCCCTCTGCATTCATCAATGTGCATTCTAGGAGTCTCCTCTACCATGGTTTTAGAATAAATTACTCAAACCCAACTAGCAGCAGGGGGATGTGACAGAATTCAGAGTCTTGGCCTAGAAGTCAGCAAGTCTGGATTCTGCTCTGGCTCTGCCCTTTCTTAGTGTTGGGACCATAGAATATTTACTTCAGGACTGTGAGTGTTTGTTTTTCTTTCTGGGAATGGGGGAAGTTGTACTAGGCTCCCTCTCAGCCTAACGTTGTAACTCCAAGACAAGAAGATTCTAGAAGTAAAAAAAAACAAAAGAAAGATGAATGAATGAGTCCAGTACCTTCAAAATAGCATCAGGGTAAGTGACTGTCTGGATCTGCTGCGTGAATTGACAACCGGTGACATTCTCTGGGCTCACTGGGGCGGCTTCATGGACTCCAGTTTTGTTAAACTGAAGCACCTACAATGGGAATTAGAGGGAATGGTTACAATTGCCTACTAAATTACTTAACTTTTAAATCACTGCCAACAGGTACCTCTTAGAGGCCCTAAGGCAAGTTCCCTGCCATTGTGTATGGGGTATGAGCATAAGTACTTTTTATATGCAGTATGTGTCAGCCAACCTAAATTTCCCTCACAGCAATCAGTATAAAGTATTTATACTAATCTGTACACTAGTCATTAGTCTCTAGACTCAGAGAACTTAAATGCCTTCACTCCCACACTTGGTTTAAGTGGCAAAGCCACAGATAGATCTTGTCCCCAATGCTTGTGCTTCCTCCTCCAAACCAAAGATCTTCTTCTCTTGCTTTTCTAGTAGAGAATTAACAAAATTTGCTTTTGAATTTTAAAATGTGTACATGCAGCAGAATTACAAGAAAACTATAAAATCTTTGCGTAGTCCCATGTGTTCTAGTACTTTCTGGACACAAAAAAAGTTTACTGTGCCCAGAGTGACCCGTAAGCTGATTTTCTTTGGGTATCAAACTCATTTTTTTTTTTTTAATTCCAGCAACCCAGAGTACTTCCTTTAGCATTTGCCCTCAAAATACATTGCTTCTGAGTGCTAGTGATTTCTTTACATTAAAAAAAATTAAGACCCTGATGTTTTCTAAAGTTTTTAGTGCGGGTCACCATCTTTTTTTTTTTTTTTCCAAAGCAAAGAAAATAAAGAGGAAGGAAGGTTGCCAAATGTTGCTGGTGTTGGAGTTGAACAACTAAGTGTTACTGCAAGTCTTGATGTTTAAACTGCCCCTGATACAGAGAGGGATGCGGCCATCCCTTTCCTCCTGCGAGGACACTGGCCAACATTCTCTCTTCAAATGAGACCCATCCTAAGTGGGTCACCTTGTCCCTGGGAAGGGCATATATACAGTCAGGTACAATGCTCATGGGAAACCCAGAAGTAGCCAGCAGCATTTTGGTGTGGCCGAAAGCACAATGCGTGCCTGTAAGTAACCAGGATGATTCAATGGTAACGTTTGTGTGCGTGTGTATAGGAAAGAACTTTAATTATAGGGTAACCTCATCTGGGTCGCTGACCTAGGAAACAACCGGATCCTGTGCATCCTCAATGTGCTGAATTCGTCCCCTAGGAATATTGCCGTGTGCAGTTGAAGAAGTCCCGGGTACTTTCAGGGCCCTGGACTCAGTGAAAGGGTCCCCTGACTGAGCTTGTGTCATCGCCCAGTAAGGACGCCTGCTGCCCACACCCTGTCCATCTTGATTTCGAAGACTGAGCATCAGGCCAGGCCTCATTGTATTGACATGATCTCACAGGGTTGATAACATGGGTGAGTCAACGTTGCTCTCCGTGCGTCTCCGAGAGCATAGTCACCACGGCTATGGGACATTCTTTTCCCTTTGTGACACTCTCTTAAACCATCAGGAGGAATTCTTTCCATGAATGAGGAACAAACACAGCACAGTGGCTGAGCAATGGAAGGGGCCTGAACTAGCAGTGAGGAAAGCTTAGGAGACCTGGGAAAGGTGTGTCCCTCACAAGGTCTGCCTTCGCAAAATGGCACTTGTCTTAAAGCCAAAGGAGGTATAAGGCATGCAAGACACTTTAAAAACATAAACATTATATTATTACAATGTAAGATGTGGTTCCTATTCATCACTTCCAGCCCTGCAGGATAAGAAACTCTGATAAATCATCTGCTATCTACAGTTGAAGGCTTGTAATCTGGCTCTTTGGCAGATCTGAATATCAGGAACTTGTGTTGTACTGGCAGGACAGGTGACTTTGTCATGGCAGGGCAGGTAATAAAGGCCGACCTTGAGATAGTCAAGATCTCTCGAGCACACAGTCAGAGCGATTCTGCAGCTCGGCTCAGGAATCACTCAGCCCTTAGTTTGGAACTTCCACGGAGACTCACCCTGGCCATCTGGTCTGCAGTGTTGCCTCTGGCACCCATGTAGACCATGACCATGGTCGATGAGATGCCCCACGGGGAGAAAAACAGGTTCTGGGTAGGGCTCGTATTTGCCAGTTGCTTGAAGAAATTGATGGCAAAGATAGTGTTTGCCACATAAATGTCTTCCATTGTTTCAATCTAGAAAGAAAGAAAGAAAATACCACTCTAAAAGATGACACAACATTTTGGGTGACGTCAGCAGAGGGGCACAGGCTGTACTTTGCCTAGGACAGGGGTTCCCCCTCTGTTCTTCCTTCATGGAGCAACATGAAGTAAAGCAGGAACAGCATTAGGGTCATGTGACCTGTGTAGCCACACGGTACAAAGCTGTGCTGTCACCATCTTGAATTGTCAATAATTTTCCAAAAGGAGTTCTACATTTCCCTTTTGCATTGGATTCTGCAAATTTTGTAGCCAACCCTGAGACACAGTGAACAGTTCTTTGATGTGTAGTGATACTCCATTTAATAACAATGATAATACTATCAACAGTATTTATGGTATTCTTACTGTGCAAGAGACTCTGTTCGAAACATTTTACCTGTACTTTTTGTCTTTACCAAAACCTATGAGGAAGGCACTGCTAATTCCTCTCCTATAAAGGAAGAATCTGCTGCACAGAGTGGATAACAAGAGTGACCACTGTTGCTCGACTGGGGGCCAAACTGGGAACTGAAGCCAGTGAGTGGCCCCCAGGGTCATGGTTGAACCTCTGTGCAGCACCTGCAAACACACACCACACACACAGATAAACCCACACGTATTCACACATATGCTACATGCCCACATATTCGTGTTGGCTCCAGTTGAAATTTCCTGCTTCTGGAAGTGGCTCAGACTCACTGTTTGAAGGTTGGGGTTTTCATAGTCCTATCTGCCCTTCTCCACAGACACACACACACACGTCACACACAGCCTTGCTACAAAAGAGCTTCTTAGGCTGAGTTCATTCCCAGGAGTGCTGGAAAGGTCCCTTCCTTTCCTGCCATGCGCTAGCAGGGAAGTCAGTGCCAGGTAGCACCACAGGATGATCCTGGGTATGTCACACACGCATACACACCCAAGATCAACCATCTGAACAAAAATGACAGACACCCCTTCCATGGCCAAAGGCTTCACATGCAGCCAAACGCTTGGACGCATGCAGATGTGCAAAGGTATCTGTTGGTCCTGGCCAGTGATCACCTTCCTATCTGTATGTTCTGCTTTCATATTGGCTTTTAACACACCCTACAATTACCAGAGTATGCAAATATACCAAACGATGCTGACACTCGTCATTCCACAGCAAACCTTGTTGTGAGGGCAGTTTCCCAGAGCTGAGGGAAGATGGGCGGGCCCCCGGCTGAGGCTCGCCCTGAGCCCTCCTCTTGGCTCACGCGGCTGGGCTTCCCGCGGGCCGGGCAGCCCCCTTTCCGCCTAAACTGTAGACGTTTTATGTGATCATGTGGGCTGTGAACATTTCTTTTTAGGAATGTAACTGCAATTTGTATAGAAATTTCTCCTTTGAAATACCACCCTATTGTATTTTATCAAGACAAAATAGTAAATTAAGTAAAACCTGTCTCCGAAACTTTCTCACTGCTTCTCATTTAATCTTCACAGGATCCCTATGAAATAGATACTGGTATCTTCAATGAATGTGTAGGCTCTGTCCTGATGCTCAGAGAGGTGAACTAACTTGTATAAAGTCACACAGTATGTATGTAATGGCGCAGGGATTTAAGCCCAGGTCTGCTTTGGAAACCACTCTATGAACGTCCCACAATGCCTCACCTGTGGGTGCACAGGACACCTCAGATGTGTAATAGATTAGGCAAGATTTTAGCTAGAGAAATGCTAGAAAAAGAAAATAAAAAGAGGAAGCTTGTGAGTCTATAATGCTCCTAGAAGGTTTTTTAAGTTAAAAAAAAATTCTACATTTTTTTTCTCTTGCTTCATCACTGAGATTAGATGAACTTGAATGGCTCAGAAATTTGTCTCCTCTTCCTCCTACCAATTTTAAATTGTCTTTTTAATTAATTAGTCTTATTTGAAAAATGGAGTTTTTTTGTAAAACATTTCCGTATTTTGGAAACAAACAAGAATTACTAAATAAAATTTTTCTTTATTCCCATGTGAAAAAACGTAAGAGATCAGAATCAGAAGAGTAAATGTAGGCTTCTCTGGTAGCAAACTCTTTATAATAACCTGTATCATCATTCACCTGGACACTAACAAAATATAAGTATCAAAAGAAACTATCAGAGAGTGCTTATAATGCCAAATTAGGATGTCAGGTGACTTTACACAGGGGAGAAAAAAAAGAAGATAAGGACAAAATTAGATTGTCACACATGCACTTACTTCTTTTAAAAATGGTCTAAATTTTATTTTTAGAATAAGTTACAAATAACTGCATTTAACATAAAGAATATCTGATATCTATTCTGCAGTTACCAAAGTTCTTCAATTGAGTTGTTTTGTTTACTTTGCGTAATTCCTTACCCAGTAAAGTCCCGTGATTCCTGTCCTGCAGGTGAAACGGTAAAGATGGAGACTGCACCCCTAATTAGTTTCGAAGCCTCCACTGAACCTCAGCCTTTGATTGCAAGTCAAGGGCTTTTCCTACAAATCTTTCAAATGAGGCTTGAGAAGTTTATAGCCTTAGGAATCTAATACACGGTGATGGAAGGCGGTTTGAATTGGGGTGGTTGGTCCCACAGTGCAACACACAGATCTTATATCATTGAAATGGACACTTGAAACCTGTATGATTCTATTAACCAATGTTACCCGAATAAACTTAATAAAAAACTTTTTTTAAACAAGAACTGTCTGAAGGCATACATATACAGTGTCTCCTGACCCTCAGACACATCCGTGGCTTACATTGGAGTGGGAATCTTCCCAAGACAATGTAAAACTCAAGTCACAGAGGAGGCATCAAGTAGCACGACCTCCCAGAGCAGGTAACACCTGTTGTGACTTTCTTAACAAGAGTAAGTTATACACCTTCATTAACTCCCTGATACTGCGCTCATAATTAATGTTTACTATTGTCCTTGAGGAGAATGGGTGGAAGCACGTGTGGGGCCGGGCTCCTTGCTGTTTGCGGCACTCCTTGCTGCACAAGTGTCACTGAAACTTGGCACAGGTAACCAAGGACTCGGGAGGGGCCACCAGGTCCCTCTTCTCCCTGGCACTTGATGTTAGATTTGAATTTGCTGTGACATTTAAAACAACTTCTTCATGACTACACAGTGCAAATAGTTTGATATTGACCACAAAAATCAATGGGAACAAAGAGAAAACAATAATTTCAAGGAAACTTTCTGTCCAAAATGACCAAATTTCCATTCCCCTCCCCCCCACCACACAAACACAAAATGAAGAGCAGTTTCTGATACTTGATGACTTTCATAGTGAGTAATTATCTGTTTATAAGGTACTAAATTATTTATTGAACTATTAATTCATTCACTCAGTTCAACAATGTTTGGCTGATTTTTCCCTTTCACTAAATTGACTGATTAAATTCAATACATATATTCCAGTATTGAACTAACTCAACCCAGAAAGCTGCTTACTTTCTGATTATTTTAGAAAAAATCTCAGTCAATTTTTAATTTTTTTAATATTTATATTCAATTGAGAGATTACTTTCCATTATTTAAATTAATATACTTTAATTACCCTAGCTGTTCTCATTAAATTCAGTGTCAAAACATTAGCTAGTAAAGAATACACACATTCTAACCTCTTCAATAAAACTGATATCACAACTCTAATACTCATTTTGGTTTGGTTAATGTTGTACAGGCATTTGCTGGCTTTCGAGAGTCAAGATGAAGTCTTGCTATACATTTACTTCAAATCTTGAGCTACAATATTTTCCATCAAATAACTATACAAGAGAACACCACTAAATTTTTACTCATCCTCTAAAAACATCACACACTTGACATTTCATTAGTAACAACAGAATTACATCTATTAGTAAGAGCAGTAAGGAAGGAGGAGAAGCGAGGAAACCACGCTGCCTAGAGGTGGCCACAGAACTCACGGAAAGACCTGGTGTCCCGGAGGTGCTCTCTAGCAGGAAACACGCCCTCCAAGAGTTGCTGGAGTTCACACATGGTGATACTCGTTTTATAAAGCTTGGCCCCGCCCACAGAGCATTTTTTTCTCTCTCTTTCTAAGCTGAAGCCTTTGAGTGATTCAACATTTTACTCAGAAAGACATCACTAGCATAGAAATGTTTGTTTCCTAAGGCACCATTTAGGAAATTTGTTGGCAAAATGACGTCACTCAGAAACTTATGAGTTTGGTAATTTCTGCACATGCCTGTCCAGAGGAGCTGCAGACCATCAGTTCCACCCACCCTCATGGGCAGCGCCAGATTCTACCATATCCCTGCTATCTGTTGATGAGTTGGCTCATGGGCTCTTTTCAATACACAAAAGTAATGTACTCCTTTCTCTCTTTTGATTCTAGCAACCTCCCAGGGGCCCTTTGGTCAGGGGAAGAAAAAGAAAACCACTGTTTTCTTTTTTTTTAATTTGAAATTCTCTATTTTAAAACCTTACATTTTTCTTAAGCTATAACTCCCTCAATAATTCTGGGTTCCACCTTGATCTCCTGTCACCAGCCACACCCAAAATACTTTCCTTTTGACCTTATTTAGAACACAGATCTTATCTTATTGAACAACAAAAATCCACAGTGTACTTTAAGTTGATATTTAACTCTGGGTAAATCATAGGTGTTGATTGAAAATTGTGATGTTGAAAACTTGAATAAGAAAATTGTTACATTTTTTTAGACCCAACCAAAGGAATTTGAGGAACAAAAATAAATAAAAAAATATGAATGGAAATGTAATTTAAGTCTGAAAACATTCATACTGTTAGAGCTTATAGAAAAGTGTTTGCAACATATTATAAAGATGGCTTCACTTCTCTTCTCTTTACTTTTATGCTCGGGCAATCCCCAGGATAGGACGAAGAGAAGTGAATGCTCCAGGCTTCTTCTCAGCTGGAGTGGGAAGCTCCACACCTTTGCATGGAGAGCAGGGCTGACAATCTGAAGTCCAGAAAACCAAGGCTGTGGATTTGAGTCCTGGGTGAACTACTGCTCAGCTTGGCTGT